CAAACAAACACCAAACAGGAAGCTCTCTACTCCAAGAGAGCCCCTACAGGTCAATGGACGTAACACTCAGGTCATTTCCTTTAGTTACAGCCTTTCATCATTTAGTATGTTTTGTTCCCATCAGTGTTTATTATTTTTCTCCCACCTCCCTTTGAATTGTAGTTCTGTTTCGTTCTCTCCTGACTGCCAGTGGCAGTAAACAGAGTGGATGTATCTCCTCGCGCTCTGCGCAGGTCGAGTACTAATGTAAACAAAGTCACGCACGTGACACGTAGCGCACCTGGTCGCGAGTCTATAAATTACGCGCCGATAGCTACGTTCGGGTCTCCCGGGATCTTCTCGTCCGAGAAGTTCCAAGTGACCCCTGTGACTGGCAGTCATCCAGGAACTCACAAAACCATAGTTACACCGTAACTTCCGTTATGTTTCCTGCTCTTTTGTATTAGGTTTTATTCTTAGGTCAAGTTAGTTTCTCCCCTGATTAGTCATTGCCTTCACCTGGTCCTCCTCCCACACCCCACACACCTGCAGCTCATCTCCCTCTCATCCTCCCTGTGTGTTGAAGCCCTGTCTTGTCTCAGTGTCTTGTCGGTCCATTGTGATGTTATTCTGTCAGTCTCATCTAGCTTTTGTAATTTCTAGTGTTTTTGGTACTCTTGAGTCTTTAGCGTTGTTGGATATCCTGATCATTATCTGGAGTTTTTGGCTTTTGGCTTCCTGCCCCTTGGACTTATTTTTGTTTAATCCTACAATAAAAGGATTTTTCTTTATATTCAACTCCTGCCTCGTGTCATCCTGGGTATCTGCATATTTGGGTCCTAAACATCCCCGAATCGTGACACATGATCAAGAATAAATAAACATAAATTTTCCATAACACTCTAAAACCATTTCTCTCCGACCTTGTTTACACTCTTTTCCACGCTAATTCTCTCGGATGCCCCGGGAAGGTGGAAGACAGGCTGCAAAATACTTTATGATGAAAAACATTTAAAAAATGTCAGGATTCATAGGTAAGTTTGGGGTTGACAGAGGATCTACCTGAAGGCTTAGACGGGTAATCTTTGAGTCAACAGCCAGAAGCGCGTCTGGTTGTGAAAAGGGACGTTGTTTTATGTGTGAAAGCACAGGTGCCAATACTCGATTGTAGGAAAAATAAAAATCCACTGAAATCTGCTAGTTTACAGGTGAATATAGCACACAAGCCTGACAGTTGGTAGACAGACAGGGATATGTTGATGTGAGATAAATATGGTGGTGGTTGATGGACCAATGACGCAAGTGTTCAGCAGCCTCGCTTCTGTCAGTGAGCCCCACGGCCGCTACGGCTATAGAGGCTTCTCAGCACCAGCGTGTGAATGTGTGTGCGTGGGTGAATGACTGTTGTGTTATAAAGTGCCTTGGGGGGATTTGAGGACTCCAGAAGGCATTATGAAAATACAAACTATTTATCATTTACCATCTGTTGATTGTAAATTGTGTTTTTTGAATTAGTCCTAAATAATGAGTACATCACCCATTGTGGACTGTTCAGGACTGACAAGCTAAAAGCTAGTCCTTACACAGTTAAGAACAACTTCTGCTGTCCAGGCTCAAATGGGACATATTCTGTAGAGCTCATGTTTTGTGTCCTTTTGTGCTGCCATGTGTGTTCCCACTGCTTCTATAAACACTCCAAATGAAGAGAAAACATCATCAGTGTGTTTTCTGTCCATGTTTGGTTTCAGGAAATGTGTGCCTAAAATAAGCCGTTTCTAATCGTCCAACACATTCTCACACCCTAAGCGTCGAAAAATGACGTGGTGTGACGAAGCGTTTGTTTCCAACGCGCAGGGAACCCCCTGCGCCTTGGGAGGTGACACGTTGTGCCAGAGCGTCGGTATCTGACGCCCGCAGTAAAACGAACATTTGAGCGAATTGTGACCTTTACCCTCTTGCTATTTAACCTTCCCCTCACCCCCGTCCTAACCTTAACCAGCTTGCACATGCAAAGCTTTGCTTCGCGTTTCATCGTTCCTCTCAAACATGCTTAACGGACTGACATACTGGGTTAAGGTTAGGGTGGGGGTGAGGGGAAGGTTAAATCGCTAGAGGTTAGAGGTGAAATGTTGGTGAAATCTCCGTTTTACAGCGGGCGTCAGATACCGATGCTCTGGCACAGCGCGTCGGCTCCCTGCGCGTCGGAAACAAACACTTGGTCACACCGCGTCATTTTTCGAGGTTTAGGGTGTGAGAATGTGTTGAATAGTCTCTGTTTGTGACATCACACATGGGGAAATTAGCATAGAGACACCTCTCGCTTGGAGGAGAGCTTCTGCTGCTAAATAATCTGCTTTCTCTTGAGCTTAGAGCAGCCAGAGAGGAGGGTGGGTAGGCATGGCCAGCTCCAGCTTGTTCTTCTAAAGTGACAGAACCCTGACACGACTCATTCTGGAAAGTACTAAAAGGGTCAAAAATAAAACTTCTGGAACGTGAGAAGGATTTTGTGTAAAAATGTTTTTTTCTTTACAATAGAAATAGTGTAACTTAAGAAAAAAGTCATAATATGTCCCATTTAAAGATTTCCAACAGTTTATGTGATCGTAAACCGTCATGTTTCTGTCAGTTTAGCTTCAGACAGGTTTTTACAGAGTTTCATGATGATAAGTGTTCTTACTAACTTCAGCTGTAGAATGTAAATGTTATGGTGCATTCAAGGAGGTCAAATAGGCATTTTATACATTATTTTCTTGTGATTAAATGCAACGTGATATTGCTGGTGCTGTAAACCAAAATGTTGGTCTAGCTTTTAGCGTGTCGGTCTTGTTATCATAAACTCTGCTCTACAAATAAGACCGTAATTACTTAAATACTCAAACATCCCTTTATGTGTTAGTTAAATTATAATGTATATAACTATAGTTATAACTAACTACTATAAATGTCTTACTTGATCATTCTTTGGATGATCCCAAGTGGGAGTAATGGAAGTTGATTAGATAGATAAGCTAACAGCTAATCACACTTTGGCCAGTTTGAACTCTTTAATAAGGCAGTTTGCGCAATCACTAGTTTGTATACCATACTTGTAGTATAGCATAATTATTCAAATATGAATAAATTATTTGCGAGAAAGTTAGTGGGTGAGCAATAAGTAGCACTTCAAATGTTTCATACAACGTTTGCATGAATTCAAGTGAAATATTTAACTGTGTGTTGTTTGAGACCTAATTAATCAACTTTGTAACCAATCCCCATACAGACTGGCTGTTAACTCATCAATCTGACCATAAATAATCTATTTCTATGAACTCGGTCCACTCAAAGACCAATCTACAACATTTAAAATTCCAAAAGGCCTGAACTCTCTTTATTGAATTCATTAGAAACATTAGGTTTATATCCTGCAAACCTTGCAGACCTTTTAAGATTAAAGCTCTGTAACAAAGGTATGTTCATTACATGAAACCATCTATGCATGCTTTCTCAAAAAAGGTAAACACGCTGAAGTTGTTCATGAGCTGTTGGGTACAAATTGCTCATTATGTCACCAAGAGTATTAAAGCTTGTGGGTATCAACTTGCACAGTTTCCACCCTGGAGGTGTTAATGAGACAAGAACAGGAGCTGTGAACAGTCCGTAAGAGGTCAGATTTTCTGCAGCAGAACCAGACAGTGTGCTTGCATCTGAATGTTTTTGTTTTAGCGAGACATCTTGTTCTTGGTATTCAGATCCTCAGCAGCACAGATCTTGTTAATCACTCTGACAAACATTGCATCTCCACCGCCTCATACATCAAAGCAGGATGCAGTCCTTGCTCCATCAGTGGGACCTAATCTGAATGTATTAGCTGGTGTCGACTCAGGGACGGAAAATCCATACGCCTTCTGCGAGTGTAGCTTGTTGTAGTGCAGGATGACAGATATTGTCTTTCCTCCTGTGTGACAATTTGTAGTGGAGACCAATTTACTAATCGAGCCAACTGGCAGGAGGCAAAGCCAGGTCTTGCAGAAAAATGTTATTTTCAGTGTGGAGCATGTGTTACGATGAGGGTGATGTAAAGCAGCAGCATTATGCTTTTATTTTAGTTTTGACAGAACTGAGTGGGAATCATGATGATGGAGCAATTAGACTTTATGTTTAGCAGCCATTCATTACATCTCAACCAACTTCATTCATACTTATTTTGAAAAAAAAAACAGGAACCTCTGATCTTACCACAAGTATACAAAACCATGCCATTTATATGTAGATGGTAGTAGCTGGCTTTTGTTGTGGAGCATTACTGCCACCTAGTGTCTTTGCTGAGTAAATGCATGCTAGATCAATGACGTGACTTTTGGGGCTTTTATTAGAAAGGTGCAGACAGTTCTACAAATTTATAAAAATCAATACAACAAATGTTTTTATCTTATTAATAAGCTTGTAATGAGTTAATAATTCTTGAAAAGTCTCAAACGCTAAATAGATTAAATTACCTTTTAATATTTAAATTACATGATTAAACCTTCTGATTTTGTTTTATTATATTATTTTTAAATATCTGGTTAACGATTTTAGATATCTCTGGGAAGTTCTTTAAATTTGTTTTTGTGAAAGCATTGATGGGTTTTTTTTTCAGTTTACCTAAAAAATTTTTTGATTTTTTAAAGGTGGAAAACAAGTTTAGAGCTTCTGAAAACAGCGTTAACAATATCAGTCAGGCCTAAAAAGCTTAAAGAGATCCTAATTGGTGGAATATTTTGCACCATTTGCACTATTTTTTATTATTCATCAAAAATAAAAAATATTCAACCGCCACTAGATGGGGCTCATAATGTGCAGCCATACATTGAGGCACAGCAGCCATAAATGAAAATATAATTGATGATTATGCAACATTTCCTCCATTTTTGTCAGGTGACTTTTTGAAAAGTTGCTAAAAATTTTAAGCTTTATTCAGTTTATCAAGAGGCTTTGGTCTTTTGCTAAATAAATCCACGTTTTGACAACAACATTTTACAAAAAATGCAAAAATCAGACCCAGTAATAAAGACCAGCTTTATTTAGTCATATCACAATAACTAGATACAATAAAATCTTTACTAAAAACACTTTGTAAAAGTTCACTTTGCCAGCTGAAATAGAATTCAGAACAATAAAATTCTTCTTCTTTCTAAAATTAAGCATAGATTAGTTTTTCCTTTGATCTTGAGGCACGAGGCTGTTTCTAACAGGGATGAGAAGAGTGCAGCTGTAGTTTTGTTGTCTTTACAGCAGCTCTGCTGTTCATGTCAGAGGTTTTGTCGACCAAACCAGCAACCACGGTAATCCAGCAGCTTTCTTGAGACCCAAAAATGTTAAAAATTCATTTCTGATTGGCAAATTCTCGAATGAAACTACCCATCAGCAAATCTAAAGACATTTAAAGTTAGATGCATGTTTTGTTTTTGCAGAATGACGATAATAATATAGTAATTTCATACCAAAACAAGGATATTTTGATACTTCTTCTCTTGTTTGATATAATAATTAGATCTCTGTGGGATTTAACGCTTGAGCAGGGATGTTGTAAAGTTACTTCTGCAACAAAAAAAAAAGCCAAATTAATCAGTTTCACACTAATGTTAGAACAGTTTTTACCTGCTTACCTGCTTGTCTAACAACAAAACTGACATTTTCTTTCATGGACTTGAATAATTCGCTTTACTATATCCACAGTTTAAGTCATAAGTCACTTGAGGTATGGAGCAGTCTGTGAAGAAGTTAGAGAAAGCCAAAGAGCTCAGTCCGCTGTCATCGATGGACCCGGAAGCTTCCTCAGACTGACTGTAGATAGGAGGCTGAGCCAAGCCCGTACGGAGACTCTCCCCGAGTTTCTTAGGAGGCCCCGAGCAGCTCGTCCAGGGCTCAGAGTAAAGCAGACCACCAACTAAATGGTGAGCATCGTAGGAAACCGGATCCAAGCCGCCCAAATCTGGCTGTGCCCTCAGAGGTGCGCCCTGATAAAGATCCTGGTCGCCTATCATGTTGCTGTAATCAGGTCCCAAGAGCTCAAAGAACTCCGCAGCCTCAGGATTCCCTCGCTCCAAGTCCTTCAGCGTCATCCCGGATGTGGAGATGACTTTGGAGCAGTTGGCAGGCTCGGTGAAGAAAGACGGAGGCAAGTTGCGATGCCTCAGAGGGGGCTTCTTGGCTTTCTCTCCTCGTACCTCCTTCGCAGGGCTGAAGAGCGCTGCCAGGCTCTTGCTCTGTAAGCTGGCCTGTACTTCGTCTCGCTTAGGTGGAGTTTTGCTCTGCAAAGGGCCCGGCTGCATCCCCGGGGAACCCTGCCTCTCCACAGGCCCTTCTGCTACATGTCCTGGTGTGATGATGCCCGTGCACCGTTTGATTTGCTTCTGCAGGTACTTCCGATGGTTGACTTTCCTTTTGGATTTCACCGGCTTGTCCAGAGCCAGCTTGATGTTGCTGGAGGCCGAGTCTATGAAGCTCAGCAGGTCCCTGGTGGTCTCTTTGAAGTCGTCATCATTTTCTGCCTCGCACAGGAGACTCCCATCTAGGCTTTTCTCCACGTCATACTCCATCACAGAGTCGGGAAAGCAGAAACTCATGAACTGAGAGTTCATGATTGCAGTCTGAACGGCCATACCTCTGCTGAGCCCAGAGGCTACACTTGTGGCATCCACTGTGATCCTTGGAGCTGTAGTTTCTTCATAGCGTGGCTTTGTTCTGACGGGAAAGCGGCTTCAAACATTTCAGAGTGGAAGTGATGGGCTCTGAGGATAGGAAGGAGATCTTTTGCGGGGCAGGGCTAATGATGTCAGGACATCAAAGAGGAGGAGCGAAGGAACCACAGGACTTAACTCTTTGCTTTTGCTCGACCACCTGCATCTAAGAGGGATTTGTCTGAAAATTCCCCTGCTGGGCTGAAGACAAAAAGCTCTGTCAAAACTCTCCCTTTTCTAGCTGAACTGTTGGTGAGGGCCCTGGAACCACAAAGGCTGTCGTGAAACTAGACGATGTTACTGTAACAGTAAGGAGAAAAGCCTCTCTGGTCCTGGATGAGGGTGAATTTATGTCAGACGGCGCCAAACACGAAACCTTTACTGATAAAATGCAGATTAAAGTAAGTATTTGGATGGCTTTTTACCAAATTATTTCTTATTTCTTTGTTATTTTTAGTGCTTTTAAACCAAAAAGTCTCTATTAAAGCTTCTCAGCTGTGGGAAAACTTCTGCCCAAACAGATGCTGCCACGTTGGAGAATCTTCCCAACCGCTCGCCTGCGTCTTAATCTGCTCGTGGCAAAAAGTTGATTTCTAGTGCATTCCCAGGCCAGTGGGAATTTCTGCCCTGGCCTGACAACTATTATGGGCTGCCTTTGACATAAAGCCCTACAGGGTCTAAATAGCCTCTATTCTTCTGGCGGCACTGAAAGGGAGCTTTGTGCCAGAGATTCATTAAATTTCACCTCACAGCCCCTTCGTAAAACGGGTCTCAATAATGAACAGTCGATTTAACTAGAAAAGCTGCCGGAGCTGTTAAATTAAAGGGGAATAAAGTGCAGTTTGGGCTCAATGTGCCAGAAGAAATGTTGACCTTAAGAAATCCTGGGTATGAAACGGGTTGTAAACAATAACGTGTTTACAGGAAGTTTCACGGCTAGAATTCAAAGGAGGATGTGTCCAACAGCAGGACAGTTACCCGTGTAAAACTGCAAATTCAGTCACATTTGAGGACTTTTTAAATTCATTTTCAGGAGAATAGTGCTGTCTTCTTTCCGTCCATTTGCTTATTCTTCAGTCTTTTTGTCCTCTTCTGCAAAAGACGACAACGCCAAAAAAAGTAAAAGCAAGAACCGAAGAGCTTTCTTTTCAAACACGAGCTGGCGTTGAGGTGAAACAGTGACTCATTTAAAGGTGTCAAGAGATTTGCCTGAAGCGGTAGAAAACTCTTTATCATGCTAATTCCTGTGGAGAAAAAGAGAGATGATGAAACTGATTGCACTATCTGTGGGTCGACACAAGACTGACGACTGAAAAGCAGTCTAATGCTCACGCACCAAAGACTCTTACGGTGAGGAAAGCTCGTTTGATAGGCGAAGACAGTTTAGTTGGACAAACGTCACCTGAAACATTCCTGATTAGGAAAGGGGGGGAAAAATGCACATTTAAGCTAAAACCTTTCATTAGATTTGCAAAAGCAGTAGATTTCCCAGGATTGAGAAGATAACTGAACTCTCTTTACCAGCATCCTAGTTTTGGCAACGTGACATCATCACAGACATGACTGCCATACCCCCCTCTCTATGTTTCCCCCCTGAAGTCAGGGGGTCTCGGCTTTTGTGCTGGTAGGTCATTCAAACCACCAAGCCTGACGCACAGATCCCGGAAACAAGTTTCTTTTGTTGCAGGAAAGCTGGGGTGGGTGGGAGTGGAGGTGCTGAGCGGATGGAGCCCAGCTCAAAGACACAAGCAGAAAGCTGAAGAAGTTTAGACTCGTTTCTTCTCTAAAGATGTTTTTTTTTTAATTATTCCTCAAATCACCATTAAAGGCTGTTGTTTCTGTCAGCATCAAACCACCAGATAAATTCTGGGAGCATCGCTTGTGATCGTTTCACTCATTTTCTTTGATGTAATCAGACATCAGACACTTTCACCAGTTCAGCGGCACTTAACCCAAAACGGAGCGAGAAGGGGGTGCTCGGTTGCAACATGATATGACACGCAGAGGCCTTAATCTCATCCCAAGAGTGTGTGGTCCCTGTCTGAGCGGGGGACACACTCGAGAGTCTGAGGTCGGGAGAATGCTAATAACGCCTCTGATTGATGAACATTGTCAGGGAGCTAAAGAGAGGGCAGCATAATGAACGACCTCTCAAAGTCCTGAGAAGCATTTTAAGAAGGGTGGTGTTCAGTGGTAGAGAAGCCTGTCCTCTCCGGCACTTTAAAGTGTCTCTCTCCACCGAGATGTCTGAAATGCAGTCAAACCTGTGACTAAATGAGCGTGGCATACCAGAGAGCCGTTTCACCGTCTGCTTCATCAGGTCACGTCTTGTCAGCAACTTTTGCTTTAGTTGGTTAAAGACTGAACGAGTGCAGCATTGGGTGAAATTTGTAAAGTCGATCAAAATTTAACAGCAGTATTTTGGGTTATTTATCAGAAGAGAAAAAAAACCGGGACATTTTTCAAAGTCATGTTTTCACAGTGTTATTCATATATTTTTAAATATTTAGTTAGCAAGCGAAATATTAAATTTAGAGTTAAATATTTATTTTACTAACTAAATATTTAAGTTTGGCCTAAATATTTAGTTTGTAAAACCAATTATTAATTTATGTTTATTTATTTAGCAGACGCTTTTATCCAAAGTGACTTACAATTTATAACCTGTAGGGCATGTTGTGATCCGTGGGGGAAACCGGAGTAGCCGGAGGAAACCCACGCATACATATGGAGAACACGCAACTCCACGCAGAAAGGCCGCAGCCCAGTTTCGATCCTGCAACCTTCGTGCTGCGAGGCAACAGTGCTAACCACTGTGCCACCATGCAGCTTAGTTTACTAACTAGATCTTTAACTTGGAGCTAAATATTTAATTTACAAACAAAAATATTTAGCTCCAAACTAAATATCCTGTTAGTAAATTATTTATTTATTTTAGAAACCAAATGTTTATTTTGGAGCTAAACTTTTTGTGTGCAAAATCAATATTTAGAATTAGCCCCAAAATAGATATTTAGCTGGGATCCAAATATTTATTTTGGAAAATAACTTTAATTTGGAGCTAAGTATTTAGTTCACATTTAGCTTGTAAATATTTAGTTTACAAACTAATTATTTAGGTCTTACATAGTCTTACCTTCTCATATTTAAATATTGTGCAAACTAAATATTTAGATAAGACCTAGCTTGCTAACTACGTATTTAGTTGGGAACTTTAACATTTATAAATGTATGAATAACATTGTGAAAATATGACTGAAAAATTACATCTAATTTTTTCTGCTATGATGGGCCCAAAATACTGCTGTTAAATGATGACTGCCAACACAAATGGTACCCCATAGTGCAGAATTAAAAAGGGCGGGGGAAAGGAAAATACAGAAAATAAAATAGGAAAACATGTTTTAATTATTTCAAATGTTTTTTGTTTTCATTTTAATGGCTTTATAACACATTAGTCTTTTATTGACATTTAAAAAGACCTAATAGTAATTTATAATCAGTTCCTGTGGCTTGCTGCACCCACTCACTCTTAACCTTACACCAACCTCTACAGCACCACAGGAAGTGTATTAATAATACTTGCAGGGGTGCTTCAGTGTCACAATTTAGCCTTTTAATGACAGCTGGTGAATGAATGTGTGCCATGGGGAATCCCACAGGTTGGTCTGCAGGGGTAAGGTCAGCAGGGGTAACCGCAATAACCTCCCACCACTCGCTTTATTGGCCTCCTCCGATTGAGTTTTTATTAAATCTCAAGGATGGGCGATTGTTCTTGTTCACCAAAAATTGAACTTTATGACTTTTTCCCCCTCAAACATCAGAAATAAAAGACTGCTCAACAAAAACTTGTTGCACTTGTATATAATGATTCTGTCCTGAGGACATCTACAGAAGTGTAGAGAGAACTATTGAAATGTTCTTATGAGAACATACATTTAAAGTAGGCGTTGACTTTAAATTGGTGTGAAAAGAAAACTAGATACAAATATGTAAGAATGAAGAATGATGTCCTGTGGTCAGATTTGGGTACTGCAGTCTGTCTCTAAACAAAAACGGATAGGCCCAGCCCTGGTTAATATATTGTGTTCACATCTGTGTAATCTGTGTATTTTCTGTGCTCAGCTGACTGTTTGTTTTGGACCTACTCTCTGGTGGTCCGCTTCGTGTGGAGCCGACCCAACACACCTTCCACGGACCGACTGGCCAGCTGAAGTTCACGCCTACCTATAGAGGGAACTACTGATTGGTGGGTACAATCAGCCAGCAGCGGCTTCTCGCACACGCGGTTCATTATCAGTCTGGATGCGGCGGAGTAAACATCATCTTTGAACTGCCGCTCCAGTCGTGGCAGCACGAGAACAGACTGCTGTGAGGACCACACATCACCTTTTCAGAGAGAGTAGGAAGTAGTGCATCATATCAGTCTCTAAACGCAACACTGCTCATGGCTGCAATTGTGTACTCAAAGAAAACACGACGGACTTCTCCACGTGTCTTTTGCCCCACCCACATGCTCAGGGACAACAGCGTACCTGAGAAGGATATGCGAACAAAACCTGGCCACGCGAGGGCAGGCTGACGCTACCTAGAGTGGACCGGATCGTGCCAGATGTGAAGATTCGATGGGTTTCATGGCTGTTGTTAATTACGGATCAGCACCAATTATAGATGACAAGCAAAGACACCAGGGGTAGACAGCTTCCTTCCCAGAGGGCTGGTATCCAGAATGTTTTAGTTGTTTTCCTGCTTGATCACACCTGATTTTAATCAGATGATTAACAGGTTTCTGTTCTCTAAGCTGTTCTCTTTTGACATTTAGAGAAAAAGAAGTAGCTATTTGATGTATAATATGTGCATGGTATGATAATGAAAGTAAAAACTGATACAGATCGTTTCTGACTTTACATTTCACTGCCAACATCGGCCGATATTATCGGACCCCCATGCAACCATCGTTAGATGTAACAGAAAAGACAAAAATGTGATTCAAATTTCAGAAAAGCTTTACTTAATTTTGGCAAGTTTGATAATAAAAAATCAACTTAAAAGTATCAAATTTTTTTCCTAATGAAAATATAATTATTCACAGCATTGTTGTCCGTGTGATTAGAAGAAAAATTGATCAATAGCATCTCCAGTTCTTTAAAAATGAGATTTTGGTGTAGAAAAATGTACCTGAAAAAGACACAAACTGATTCAAAAAGTGGATGAACTTTGGTTTTGTGACATAATTATTTAAAAAGCACCAAAAAAGAATAAAAGTCAGGAAATCCTAGGATGCCGTGAAAACCCTGTTCATGGGGATTTTTCTTTGCTTCTGGTCTTTTGAGCTTGTTTGATCCACTTCTGGAAATACTTCAGCTCTAACGCCCGTGCAGCGCGGACTGAGGGGGGATCCAGGTCAGTGCTGTAACGGAGGTCCAGGTGATGGGCTCCATCAGGAATCACAATGGAAACCAGGGAATGTGTGATGTTCCCGGTCACTCCGCCAGACGACCACGGATCAAGTCCTCCATTACTGAAATTCAACAGCAGAAATATGTGAACTCAGCAGGAGAAAGTAGAAGGTGGAAATAATCATTTAGCCCACGTGATTTATAACACTGTTAAATCTTGTGGTACCACTTTACAGTAAGGGCCCCTTGTAAATGGCTAAATAGTTGACAAATGTGTTATTAGTTGAGCTATAAAGCAATAATAAGTGATTATTACTCGCTAATTAAAGGCGCAGTATGAGATGTTTTTCTGGACACTTTTCTGACATCCGGATGGCAACCAATCAGTTAAATATTTTGTCAAAATAAAAAAATTGAACATTTGTAATCACCTAGGAAACGTAACCTCCTGGAAAAACCTTATCCAATCATTGCGAAGGTCCTGTTCTGATCCATCCATCAAACTGCCCTCTGACCATCCCCCCCCCCCTCTGCACATACCCCTCTATATGCAGCAACGACGCAGAGCCAAGCTAGCTATATTAGCTAGCTTAGGTAGGTGTGTTACATTTGGAATTATGGTAGAAAAGGTGCCAATAACTGGTCAACAATGTGTTGAGTTTTGTGACTTTGGTGGCGTGGATTGGGGGGGGGGGGGGGGGGGGGGGAGGATTGTAGTTGCATTTATTTTGTTCGAAAAACAGTTTTCTAGGAACTCTCACTCGACATTTAAGGGCTGGAAAAAAGATGAAACTGACCCTTCTTGTTAAATTAGTGAGCCAAATCTGTATATTTCATCAAGAGTTGCTATATTAGACCTTTCAAACAAAGTTACTACCTTGTAAGCACAACGAGCGTTCGTAAACATTACGTTTTTGAATGTATTATGATATTTATACTATCGCTGCAATTTAAATATCCACAACTAAGAATCCTTGCGGCCATGGAAGGCTGTAATGATTTTGCAGCCAGGAGAGAGCAGAGCACGTCTTTGTAAGTAAAAGCTTACCGTTAGCATTAGCAAGTCCACAACATGGCTGAACAGGTTCAGACGTGTTATTTTTGGAGATAAAACAACAACGTTAAATTTTTTACCCAAGAAAGACGAGCGAATGAGGCAGCGGAAGAGTTGTGTTGCTGTTAGCCAACCAGAGGTGAGACACTCGCATATCATGAATATTAATCAGTATGACTGGTGCTGTTTTTTGACCTATCAGAACATTAACTTCTGCCTACATCTTATAAATGACAATTACCTGAAGATGATGTTGCTATGAGAGGCGATTGTCTTTCCCCCATAGACTGTACCAGCCCAGTCAGCTCGTGGCCTGACACCAAACATGGCGTTGCACTCATCAGAGTACGTTTGGAAGTTCCAATCCTCAGGTTCAAACATGTCCTGCACACCGTCCGTGCACATGGGCATCACCATTTCTGTGCAGGCCTGGGAAAGAGATTGGGCGTATTGTTATTCTGATAGATTATCGATTTTGCCAGGATTATCTAACAAGTCTGTTTCATACACCTGGTAGAGCCAGCCGAGAGCACCAAGGCTGCTGGTGGCTGTCTGAGAGGTGTTGAGGCAAGCCGAGCTTCCGGTGTAGTTATAGTAGACCTTTGCTGCTTGGGAGACTCCGTGCAGCAGTTGGTGGTCGGACACAGAGGAGTCAAACGCGAGATGTTTGCACACAACCTTAAAAATGTTTAAAGACAAAATGATCAATCTGAAGTTAACAGCCACATTTAGGTGAAGACAAATCCTCACTTCCCTCAGATCAAAGTTCTTCACAAAACTGCGGAATTCTTTCTTGTCGCCTGTAAATCGCCATCCCACATAAACAGTGCTGGCGCCTCATTTGCATATGAAATTCCCCAGACTCAACCTAAATTTATTGCTCTAACCTTGGCTCCAGAGGGGGGGGGGGAAACAGCTATTTAATTTAATTCAGCAAGCTAAATAAATGAACATTTAAAGACTTGAGTCTCACTGCTGCAGTTTCATTTGGCTCGTTGATTTCTCCAAATTATTAGCGTGAATGATAAATATTTGCGTTTGGGCTCTTGTTTGATTTTACTGTGTGTTGTTATGGTTGCAGCAGCAGAGTTGGCCGGCGCTGTTGTTCTGCACCTTTTGTGAAGCAGAAAAACTCGGCTCTTTTTTTGTTTTCGGAGGGGATCGGCACCAGTGTGGAGTTTGTTACCAAGGCTTTTGTTTATGGGCGGGGGAGGAGTTGGTGGTCGATGGCTGAGGAGGGCCGCGGACATGTCCAACTAAAGATTTATACTGTGGAAAAAAGTCCACTGCAGTAGTTCCAAAGCATCTTCTCCTTACTTTTCAGATAGGATTAGTCTTATACATTCATCTCTGCCAGCAGATTTCCCTCCTCTAAGCCCTCAATACTTCGTTCTCACACTCACTCACATAATCACATTAGCTTTGTCATTAAAACAGCTCCTTTTTGCACCCACTGCCTAAACCGCTTAAACCACCCATAGGGGTTGCATACATTAGAGGCAGGGAGCCACACATTCAAAAAGTTACCATTTTATGTTTTACTATGGAGAAACAAATGGATCTATTCATTGTTTTAAAGATAAATAATAAAAAAGCATCACGTTTGCGGTGCAACGGATACACATTTGTTTACATGTGAGAAACAAGAAAATTTGATTTTAAAAAAATGAGAAAAATGCACAATGGCAGCAGGTTTTTCCACTTGTCCTGTCATTTATTCCCATATCCTGTCTTCTAGCTCCGGCCGCATTCAAACAGCAGCAGAAAACGTTTTTGTTTGATGCCTCGTGAGCAGCTTGTCCTCTCTCTGTGGAGCCATGTGACTGTCCTAACGGGGACGTGTCAGAAACCTGTTGGGAGTGTGCAAATGAAAAGACTTCTAGAGACGGGAAGAGCGGCAGCTAAACTTGTTGCTACTTGTCTAAAGAATACTTAAATCCTAAAGAAGTGCGTTTCTTATGAATATTAATGAAGTTAGTTGACAGCTGCTGTAAATAAAGGCTTGAAAGACAACAAACAAACACTTGTGGAACAATCGGTCGCCTCACGTGTTCGTTAAGGGAAATCCTGCTTCATTAAAAGATTTACAGAACTAAAAGTTGGAGAATGTTATGCAAATGTGACTGAAAGAGTGAAAACGGCTTTGGCTGATGGTACCTGGATGGGCCAGCGGGGCAGCGGCTGCAGGAAACTGGCTTCATAAGGGTAGTCCACCATGGCCAGGTTCACCCAGGTCTCCTGGAGCCAGCCCTTGAAGCTGAGAGCATCATTCTTGTTTTTAAGAGGGTTGCATAAACTGAACTCTTCTGACAGCCACTGGAGACCAGACGCTTTTCCAAAGCAGAAAACAAAAGTTTAATTACAGTTTCATTTATAATGTTAGCTACTATATTCATGTTATCCATTAGGATGATCGCTTACGTAGACTTTACTGGAACTCCACTAAATTAGAGCAAATTAGCAATCAACAACTTCAGTTCATATAGGCTTTTATATAACTTGATGTTATTTTATGGCATAATAGACATTCTTTAAAAAAAGAAGGAAAAATGGATCTGAAAATTAAAGACATTAAATGTTTCTAAGGAAATGCACAGATGGCCTTTAAGTACCCTGTTATTTTTAAGTATCTGCTCTATGAGAGAATAAGTTGTTTTTCAGCTTGCTTTTAAAAGCTATTGTATTTTTAGAACATAACATTCTACTTGGTCATCTGTAAACATGTGAATAAAATTTAAGTATTTATACTTTTTAAGGGTGCTGGAACAACTTTTTATACAATTGTAAACTGGTCTTTGTTGAAGCTCAAAATGGCCAAGGAGCCCTGATAAATGACCAAATACATCCCCCCAATAAAGCCCCACAAGTCCCCCCCCCCCCCCCCATTCAGGCAGGAAATGAATATTAAATGAGCTGCAAGCTGACAGGCCAGTTTACCCTGATGTTAACGTTATGTGAGCTCCTACGTTCTTCTGTGTTTTTCTATAACAATAACATAAGCTCAGGCCAACATTACCAATTGACCCTTTGCACGTGACGTCACCCCACTCATGTGAGCGCCCCCTTTGCCATGATGGATGGCAAAAAGACCATTTACACCCGTTGAAACTCCAGTACAGCCTGTCAAAACAAGCCAGTTTGTAGCCTTTTATCGCTTTAATTTAGTTGATTTGACAGTAAAATGGTTTTAGCTTGCTGCGTGGTTGGCTGCACTAAGAGACAAGGATGTAAACTCAACTTGTTTTGTTTTTTTAATAACTTTGATGGAGACTGAGGACGGAGATGAACTGCAGCGATCAATCAAGCGGACTAGCAGCCCTCAGATTTGCAGCGAACATGTTTTTACCAGGTAAGATTAACGTTCATTTATTTCACGAGGAAGACGGGGACAGGGATAGATGTGATGTGTTTATACAAGTTATTGATAATCCTGATGGATGGGTATTTCACCACGGAGGATGCCCGCCGTCCACTGTAGTGTAAAGCGAGACAATTATTAACAATATTAAAGCTCCGACATGATTGCGTGTGTTAAAATTACGTTATTTATATGAGTGTCGCTGTTCAGAGATCTTCTCATTCCGGTGTGAGAGCAGCAGCTGAACCCGGTAACACCACCAGCAACAGAAGCTGGTAGGGATCCGGACTTTTTAAAAACCAGCTTTGGTGTAAAGTGAAACGCTGTTTATAACATAATGTTATAAATCCAGAGGGGTGAATTTAGGCAAAGTCAGCAACATGTTTATGTTGGTGAACAGCTGCAGAGAGAACGTAAGCTAACGTTAGTAAGCTAGTTAGCATACCGCTCTCTACGAGCCCCCCCCCCCCCCCCCCCCCCCGCTAGATGCGCTACTTCTTCTGATAACTGAACTGGGCATGAACTAGTTGCATGAATGCTGGAGGAGTTTTGTTTTTGTTTTGATTGCAAAAACAATTTCAGGCTCTGCTTTTCCCTTTGGTTAGAGCTCGTATCGCTCACTGTTTACATGCTTTTGCCGTCCAGCATGGTGGACCCACGTGATTAGGTGACGTCGGTGCAAAGCATCAGTAGCTCAGGCTAGCACTGTTCTGTGGTTAGCTTTACTACCACCAGCATTTATATATTGCTGACGCTGAAGTTGGTTGGATGCTAATTTAAGGGTGTGTGTCTATGTTGATGATGGGTAAAAGTAGCTTTTCTCAGAACAAACCGGCAAAGACTTCTTGGGAAATTTCACACCCTATACCTATATGGAGCGTAGATTACTCCCCTTTTGGGTCTTCAAAACAAGAAAAGAAAAGTAAGCGAATAAAAGCCATTTTCTTATCCGCTTTGCCTCACGCCATGAATCGCACATTTGTTGTACTTCAATTTAAACGAAAGATAATGATATGTGTTTTGACCACGCCTTTCAGGTACTTTAGGATTCATCGGCTTGTAAAAATTCATAAATACTATGACTGCAAATCAGATGTTGCATATCTGATTTGCGACAGTGTAGCTGCTACTTACCACATGGCCAGATTTATAGTGGTTTTCTCCATGTTGAAAGGGACAATGTGTAGTTTTTACTGTTAATCTCTGGAAATATTCATCAAAATGTTGTTGAAAATAAATTAAATGATGCCCAGTTGTTGAAAAATATTGGCAGCTTCTTAACATAAAATCAGGTCTAAAATACATGGGAGCAGGTCTAAGTCTCAGAGCGACGCCATATTAGATGCCATGTTTCCTTCTACGGGAGCCCTTGAGGACAAAATGTATTTACTGATTTGTAACAAGCGTTACTAAACTTTCACCATTCATAAACGTTGTTTTACACATTTACCTCTACTCATTGCCACTGATGAAAGGGAGTCTAATGTGCTTGTCATTTTGCTGAAGTTTGTCCTCCCCAGGGCTTTTTGGCCCTAATGGGCAACCGTTGGTAAGGTCTTAACTCCAACACAAAAATACAGCTTGCTTGCAACAATTCAGGTATCTACTGCCCCCTATCGCCAGGATTAATACGCACCATTACTTTAATGCTCCTTCTTTTGTCTTGAAAGAAGGACTCAAAGCTCTCTAAACTCACAGCTGTTTTCCCCCTTATGTCTGGTTCGATGACGTCAATACGGTGAGATGCATTTGTAGTCCTACGCGTCTTTTCACACAAAACCTAAAATGACTTTTGCCGCCATTTGAAAAAAGCTCTTTCTTGGCATCAGAATGTGTCTTTAAAATTCACCGACATCATACGTGAAATCCATGGCACAACAAACGGGATTAGAAAATATAATTCATAGCCCCGTTGACTTTCATTCCTTTTTTCTTATTTCCAGAGACAAATGGTCTGGAAGTAGATGAGTATGACTTAGACTCCCTGTATTCAATGACAACTAAATAAATGTGGTTTTGAATTAGAAAACTCCTTTAATTATAATTCATTCATAAAGATCAATTTTAGTGGACTGTGTCATCTTTTGCAGTAGTACCTGTATTATGAGAACCCCTTAAGGGTCATTCTCCATTTCATGTAATCAGACAGCTTGTTTCAGACACATTTTCTGCAGATTAAAGTTTTGAGTGCAGAGTGACTTACCAGTAGAGGAGACGTTATTTATAGCTTCCCACGATCTTCGGATGCTTGCATCACAGTTATAGCCACTTTTAGCAAAGTCTTGAGTTACTATTTTGTAGAAATCTCCACATGGCACCATTCCAGGAAACTGCCATATTGGCGCAGAAGCTGCTAACGCTCTGAAATTCAAGAGGAGGCAGAGTTGTTTCTATTTACTTATCTCAAAACCGACACACGCTACACTTCCAACTCCTCACGTTATCACTGGGTGAGAGTTAGGAGCAGGACTGCTAAAGCAGAAGACCAAATTATTCAGACTGATTAAAGATTCAAACATAGTTACACCTTACCCAATAACTACACTGGGGTATTTCATTCTAAACCAGGCAGAAAGCATCCCTCCATAGGAACCTCCGATGGCGATGACTGGACTGTCCTGAGCTTTGGGTATTGTGTTTTTAAGGTTTTGGATCAGTACTGCGAAATCTGCAAGAGCCTGCTCTGAGGTCAGGTAATTCAAGTGTTTGCTGTCCTGTGGTCAGAAAAGAGTTATCAAATTAAGCATCTTATATCACCTGAGCAACATGTAACCCGTGTCTCTGCACCTTTACTCACACTGTAAGAGTCTTGTCCAAATGGCAAAGACTCTCCATAGTAACGATGTTCAGCAAAAACCAGCATGGCGCCCAATTGTCCTGCAACCTCCCACATGAAGCCCTGACAAGAAAACAGGATGCTGCATTAGCTTGTAGAGCAAGTGTGTTCAGTAAATCTGCAAGACAGCAGTTGAGTATTTACAGTGTTGTTGCAGAACCAGGCGATGTCACCCTCGTTTCCGGTGTAGAACAAAATGGGTCCGCCAGGCTGCTGCCAGTATTCGTCGGCCACCAGGTATCTCTGTTTGAAAGTGGCATCCTCGAGGAATCCAAAATGGTCAATCTAAACAACAAAAATAGGACAAAATAAAATGACAACATGTTGAAGGTGTTTGTGGTTTTTCTCAGATTAAACTGAAAGCAAAGCAGTGAAGCAAAAAGATATAAAACTTGAGCCAGATTTTCTCTGAATATGACTCAAAACTGTTTGTTTTTTTTATCGTGGCATCACTGTCCTGGGACTGTAACCCCAGTTTCACACTGAAAGCATCGGTGGCACAGAAAGGTAGCGGAACGTCACTGCAAATTGAATCCATTATAGTCTATGGAGAGTGCTTCAAACCAACAGCGACGCGGCAATTTCCAGGTGTGTCCCAGAAGCGGCACGCCGCGTCACAAAAGATGCACTCAGGTTCTATTTTTGCCAGGCGTCGCTTCTGGGATGCATCAATTTCCACAGTTAACATATGGCTAGATACCTTCCCTATCGCTCCTAAAGGGAAAGAAGTCCAATTTAAAATTTTGAATAAAATTTACCCAACAAATAGACTCCTTGGGGATAGATTCAATATAGAAGCTGGTAATTGTGTATTTTGTGAAACAGAAGAGGAGGACTTAGACCATCTATTTTTTTGTGCAATTTTATACAAATATTTTGGTTAGATTTTCATGCCTGGCTTTGTTCTAGTGGGATTCAAATTGCCCTTACCTTAAATATGATCATGTTTGGAGTGTTTTTGAAAGAAAAGAAAGTTAATTATGGTGTTAATGTGTTATTAATTTTGTGCAAACAATTTATACATAAATGTCGATTTTTTAAGACCAAACCAACACTAGCCTATTGGAAAAACGACTTAAAATTATTAGTTAAATCTTTTAATTTAGTTAAAAAGAAAAAGGCTGATTTTTTTATTTCCTTTGTAGAAGATTTGAGTTAGTAAGTTAATAATCTGTTAATTATGTGACCCCATCTTTAGATTTTCTTTTTTTCATATACGTGAAAATATTTAATATGCATGTAATGATTATCTTTTGAATATATAATGTAAGGTACATTTTGTTTGTATGTTATCTTCTCTAATAAAAAATAAAAAAAACATATGGCTAGACAGGAAATAGCACACAGTTTCAGTGTAAAATCATCAGTAAATTTCAAAATAAAAGTACTGCAGCAATGCAGTTTCATATATATGAAGCTTACGTGTGACCCAACGACTTATTTACTCACAGCAATGTTCCAGAAGTACAGCGGTGTGGGTTTCATGGCATTAGTCGTGGCAGTGGAGAGGAACAATATCATATATGACATCAAACAGCGATATCAAATGAGATTTCTTTCTTTCTGGTTTAATGGCAGATTGCAGAAACAAACTGTAACCTGAAGTCTCGAGGGATCTTGTGATCTCACGAGTCCAGTGAAGAGCACAGCAAGGTAGCCGTGCCGCTGCCGTTTCGCGCCGCTGACGCTTCACATAAAGCAGGGATGGGTTTTCACAATTGTTACAGGAATATGGAATCCCACAAAAACCCAGTCTGAAAAAAATACACTATTTCATAGACTAATAGATGAAAACCTGTCCTTTAGGTTAAATTAACCATGTTAGTTTACAGTGTGTTTACTACAACTACCATGACTAATTAAATAAACAGTATTTTGCTGTATTTGAGCCAAATGGACACTAGCTCTGTGTGATCTGGAAAGCAAACATAAACTCATAGATTAGTGGAACAGTTTTTAATGAATTACCCACTTATCTACAAAAATGTTTAGCTTAAGTCAACATAAGAAGTGATCTGCTGCCACAGAACTGGCTTTGGTTTCTGAGGTAATTAGCCCCAATTTGTACAGGAAAACGCAGGAGTTCTTTTTAGAAAATGACAAATTAGTTCCCCTTTAGATCAGCTCTGGTCTATCCTTTTCTAAAACTTCAGGGATTCTGGGGCATTTTCCCCTTATTTAGGCATATTTTCGTGTTCTCCATGGAACAACAGCAGATGGGGAAAACAACAGCTCACTGAGGCTTCTGAGTTGCCAACCCCTTGAAACAGCCCCAGCACTTAATGCAAAATGTTTCTGTTTTGTTTTTCCCCCATTGCAGCTCCCTTCCCTCCTTGGTGGACACAAAGACGGCAGAGTTTTTATGAGCCAGCGACAGTGAAAAAATTCTGGGGCCTCAATGCATTCATTCAGGCCCTGACTCCTTCACACTTGGCAATGTTTTGCTGGGGTGAGGGGCACCATGAAACGGTTTAAAGGAAACGTTCAGCCGTTTGGCAGCAGAGACCATTTCAGTGGTTCTGGCTCACCAAAATAATATCACACTGTTATGAACAGTAAAGCCACCATTTATCAGGTTCTTAGTGTTCAAGTCCAAGTCCGAGTTGTAACGTGATGGAGCCATCTCATTTCCTTACAGAGTCAAGTAACTTGATCCAACAAGCTGAATGCGAGTCCCACGTTTAATTTCAACAGCCACTTGTTACAGCTGCACCTTGAAAAAGTAACTCCTATTGCTGGAATTGGCATGTAGCCGATGCGAACGTTAGCTTGTAATTTTAGCTCAGATTACAGAACAAATAAAGTCTATGTAAGGGTACAGATGCCTTGTTGATGATTTGTTTCCCATTCACATTCCTGTCACATCACACCTGTCTTGTCTTCAGCTGTCCTCCTACATGTTGTACGTGTGGTGACGCTTTTTCATGACTTTGAGGGAAACTCTGTAAAAGCTAGCTAACTGCACATTGTGTGGTAAATGTGGACTCGACATATTGATGTGGAATACGTCAAACAGCGACATTGCATATTTGACTTTACAGTACAAGTCCACGTTCAAGTCCTAACTTTGCAAGTCTGAGTCGAGTCTCTAGGTTCTACAGACCAAGTCTGAGCCGAGTCTCTAGGTTCTACAGACCAAGTCTGAGACGAGTCTCTAGGTTCTACAGACCAAGTCTGAGACGAGTCTCTAGGTTCTACAGACCAAGTCTGAGCCGAGTCTCTAGGTTCTACAGACCAAGTCTGAGTTGAGTCTCTAGGTTCTACAGACCAAGTCTGAGCCGAGTCTCTAGGTTCTACAGACCAATTCTGAGTCGAGTCTCTAGGTTCTACAGACCAAGTCTGAGTCGAGTCTCTAGGTTCTACAGACCGAGTCTGAGTCGAGTCTCTAGGTTCTACAGACCAAGTCTGAGTCGAGTCTCTAGGTTCTACAGACCGAGTCTGAGTCGAGTCTCTAGGTTCTACAGACCGAGTCTGAGTCGAGTCTCTAGGTTCTACAGACCAAGTCTGAGCCGAGTCTCTAGGTTCTACAGACCAAGTCTGAGCCGAGTCTCTAGGTTCTACAGACCAAGTCTGAGCCGAGTCTCTAGGTTCTACAGACCAAGTCTGAGACGAGTCTCTAGGTTCTACAGACCAAGTCTGAGACGAGTCTCTAGGTTCTACAGACCAAGTCTGAGCCGAGTCTCTAGGTTCTACAGACCAAGTCTGAGTTGAGTCTCTAGGTTCTACAGACCAAGTCTGAGCCGAGTCTCTAGGTTCTACAGACCAATTCTGAGTCGAGTCTCTAGGTTCTACAGACCAAGTCTGAGCCGAGTCTCTAGGTTCTACAGACCAAGTCTGAGTCGAGTCTCTAGGTTCTACAGACCAAGTCTGAGTCGAGTCTCTAGGTTCTACAGACCAAGTCTGAGTCGAGTCTCTAGGTTCTACAGACCAAGTCTGAGTCGAGTCTCTAGGTTCTACAGACCAAGTCTGAGTCGAGTCTCTAGGTTCTACAGACCAAGTCTGAGCAGAGTCTCTAGGTTTTACAGACCAAGTCTGAGTCGAGTCTATAGGCTCTACAGACCAAGTCTGAGCCGAGTCTCTAGGTTCTACAGACCAAGTCTGAGTCGAGTCTCTAGGTTCTACAGACCAATTCTGAGTCGAGTCTCTAGGTTCTACAGACCAAGTCTGAGCCGAGTCTCTAGGTTCTACAGACCAAGTCTGAGTCGAGTCTCTAGGTTCTACAGACCAAGTCTGAGTCGAGTCTCTAGGTTCTACAGACCAAGTCTGAGTCGAGTCTCTAGGTTCTACAGACCAAGTCTGAGTCGAGTCTCTAGGTTCTACAGACCAAGTCTGAGTCGAGTCTCTAGGTTCTACAGACCAAGTCTGAGTCGAGTCTCTAGGTTCTACAGACCAAGTCTGAGTCGAGTCTCTAGGTTCTACAGACCAAGTCTGAGTCGAGTCTCTAGGTTCTACAGATCAAGTCTGAGTCGAGTCTCTAGGTTCTACAGACCAAGTCTGAGTCGAGTCTCTAGGTTCTACAGACCAAGTCTGAGTCGAGTCTCTAGGTTCTACAGACCAAGTCTGAGTCGAGTCTCTAGGTTCTACAGACCAAGTCTGAGACGAGTCTCTAGGTTCTACAGACCAAGTCTGAGACGAGTCTCTAGGTTCTACAGACCAAGTCTGAGACGAGTCTCTAGGTTCTACAGACCAAGTCTGAGCCGAGTCTCTAGGTTCTACAGACCAAGTCTGAGTTGAGTCTCTAGGTTCTACAGACCAAGTCTGAGTCGAGTCTCTAGGTTCTACAGACCAAGTCTGAGTCGAGTCTCTAGGTTCTACAGACCAAGTCTGAGTCGAGTCTCTAGGTTCTACAGACCAAGTCTGAGTCGAGTCTCTAGGTTCTACAGACCAAGTCTGAGCCGAGTCTCTAGGTTCTACAGACCAAGTCTGAGACGAGTCTCTAGGTTCTACAGACCAAGTCTGAGCCGAGTCTCTAGGTTCTACAGACCAAGTCTGAGTTGAGTCTCTAGGTTCTACAGACCAAGTCTGAGTCGAGTCTCTAGGTTCTACAGACCAAGTCTGAGTCGAGTCTCTAGGTTCTACAGACCAAGTCTGAGTCGAGTCTCTAGGTTCTACAGACCAAGTCTGAGTCGAGTCTCTAGGTTCTACAGACCAAGTCTGAGCCGAGTCTCTAGGTTCTACAGACCAAGTCTGAGCCGAGTCTCTAGGTTCTACAGACCAAGTCTGAGCCGAGTCTCTAGGTTCTACAGACCAAGTCTGAGACGAGTCTCTAGGTTCTACAGACCAAGTCTGAGCCGAGTCTCTAGGTTCTACAGACCAAGTCTGAGTTGAGTCTCTAGGTTCTACAGACCAAGTCTGAGCCGAGTCTCTAGGTTCTACAGACCAAGTCTGAGTCGAGTCTCTAGGTTCTACAGACCAAGTCTGAGTCGAGTCTCTAGGTTCTACAGACCAAGTCTGAGTCGAGTCTCTAGGTTCTACAGACCAAGTCTGAGTCGAGTCTCTAGGTTCTACAGACCAAGTCTGAGTCGAGTCTCTAGGTTCTACAGACCATGTCTGAGTCGAGTCTCTAGGTTCTACAGACCAAGTCTGAGTCGAGTCTCTAGGTTCTAAAGACCAAGTCTGAGTCGAGTCTCTAGGTTCTACAGACCATGTCTGAGTCGAGTCTCTAGGTTCTACAGATCAAGTCTGAGTCGAGTCTCTAGGTTCTACAGACCAAGTCTGAGTCGAGTCTCTAGGTTCTAAAGACCAAGTCTGAGTCGAGTCTCTAGGTTCTACAGACCAAGTCTGAGTCGAGTCTCTAGGTTCTACAGACCAAGTCTGAGTCGAGTCTCTAGGTTCTAAAGACCAAGTCTGAGTCGAGTCTCTAGGTTCTACAGACCATGTCTGAGTCGAGTCTCTAGGTTCTACAGACCATGTCTGAGTCGAGTCTCTAGGTTCTACAGATCAAGTCTGAGTCGAGTCTCTAGGTTCTACAGACCAAGTCTGAGTCGAGTCTCTAGGTTCTACAGACCAAGTCTGAGCCGAGTCTCTAGGTTTTACAGACCAAGTCCAAGTTCCAAACAGAATAAAAATTGATATTGCTATTGTTGGAATTAGCAGCGAAAGCTAATGTTACTGTTTTATGTTAGATCACAGGACAAATGTAATGTCCACAACTTCCCAAAGCTTTTGCAAGTGTAAAGATGATCTGTCGATTATTTATTGTTGCCAAAGTTATTTTAAGCTTGTTTTATTATTGTACGTGTGGACTCGCTCTGGTGCGCCACATTTGCACGTTTGAGTCGGAGTCCAAGTTAAGTTCTAACTATATAAATCTGAGTCCAAGTTCAAGTCGCTGACATGCTCCTCGAGTCCAGGACTCGAGTTCTCTGTTCATGGTTCTGAATAAGGTACCTTCAGTCTTTAATCTTATAGCACTTTTTGTCCCATCTTTTATGTTTTATACCAAGCATCTCAAAGATCTGAAATAAGGCCTTAGAACTTCTTTCACAAGGCAAAACATTAAAACCAAGATCTAAAAGAACAGTAAACATGTAAAGTGCTTTGATTAAAAAAGAATGTGAGTATTCACTCAGTATGCTCATCGCACATCCTGTTAATCTGGTTTGATAACACCACCAGAACCAGATAAGTAGTGCCACCGTGTGGCGTAGAGCAGGCGGCTCCTCTGTTGTTTGTTCCCATTTAAATTAAGTGCAAATGCTGCACAGCCACCATTGTGCATCAACTATCTCACAATTCAAGAGGCTGCATTTGCTTCCCAGCACAAAAGGTCACATAAGAGTAAACAACCGATGCAGAGGCTGAGGAAGGCATACAGCAGCTAATTAAAAGGATGCTAAAGGACACTTCCATTCATTGTCTGGAGGCAGACCGCAGTCAAGAGGATTTCCTGATGACAACTAAATTACTCTGTGCACCTTCACACCAGTTTGCTGTGTGATGTGTAGCAAAGGCTGCGTGGTTAGTAATTATTTAGAGATAACAGCCAATTTGCTGAATGGAGGTTAACAAGGGTTTAATTGTAGTACTTATCATGAAGAAGTAAATAATTTATCATTGATTAGATGACAAGAAACCCATGAGACAAGACTGGGGGGGGGGGGGGGGGGGGGTAAGGAAATGATCTTAGTTGCCTTGTCAGCTTGGTTGATTAGGCAGGATGCTGCGAGCTGGAACAGATGTAGAGCATTGTCTGCACATCCAAACATTGTTTGGCGCAAAAATAACATTATTACTTGATCAGAGCTACGGTATCAGCTAAACTGTCTATTATTTTTGTGATTGATTTATGTCTTTAAAGAGTAACAAAAATTTACCAATTAAATGAAACACAATCATGTCAAATCTATGCTGTCTGCGATTGCTCTGGTCTTTTTACATCAACTCTACCCACAGGCTGCTTGTTTTGACTAGAACAGGTGTGTTTGGTTCTTCGCACACACCACTCAGCCAGCAATCTGGATCCCCATGAAGTAACGATGAATGGAAGATAAGAAAAAAGGACTGAATGAAGATCTTTCACCCCCCCCCCCCCCCCCCACACACACACACACACACACACACCCCAGCTAAAACGTTTTACATTCAGTGGACCCTGGAGACCTCTTTAGGTACAGAGCCAGGAAGGATGGCTACAGTCTGCTGGCAGGACCAGGGCTGGTTTTCCCTTCACTACAGGAAGTCAGATGGAAACGCCTATTGTCTGCAGACACAGCATGTGCACCTCTATAGAATTAGAAGTGATGGGAATTTTAGAAAGAGCAAGTGGTGCAGTCATTTGTATCAAGCACACAAAAAATAGTAAAAGTACAAGCAAATAGTAAATAAAAGGCTGAGTCGACAGACAGACAGACAGACAGACAGACAGACAGACAGATAGATAGATAGATAGATAGATAGATAGATAGATAGATAGATAGATAGATAGATAGATAATGTACAAATCAAATAATTGAAGAAGTGAAAGAGAAACCATAAAAAGAGGAGTCAGACATGAAAATATGTATTAACCAAAATAAAATAACAGGTTACAAAATAAAAGCACTTTATTTACTCACCTTCTGCTCAAAGTAGAAGGTCTTATAGCTGATGGGTGGCTCTGAGGAATAACGCAGTGCTCCCAGTCTGGTGAAAAGTTGCGATTTTAGAGAAGTCGCATGTAAACAAGGAAAAAGCAACACTAGGATGCTGCTAGCTGCAGCCATGGTCAAACCCTGCGTCCTGATCCCAGACATCTTTACAGATAAATCACAGTAAGTCCGCGGCTTATGATTAACTCGAGCGCATGATCTCTGATGTGTTTACTGAGAATACTAGTCCCGTAGAAGAAAGGAAGTGAGAATCCTCCTGTCAGCAGGTCAGGAGAGGAGTTGCCATTCAACTTGTGACTTGGAGCTGCAGCAGGTCCTCCAATCAGCAGGCATTAGCGCTCAGAGTCCTCCCATTTAACAAATCTGATACCGAGCTAAGGCAGTAGGGTAGTGTGTACATGTCGATGGTGTACACACCGGTACACACAAAGCAGATGGTTGGTACAGTAAATGTCCCGCAAGGATTAAGGGAGATGGAGTTTAACGTGGGCTGCAAGCAAGTTCGTCTTCGAAAACACGTCTTAAAATCATGTTAAAATAGGCACGTATTCGGAAATATTTAACTTCTGAAATCCCAATGAAACTTCAGAGACAGTTTGATCCCTGGTAGAGATATCTCAGCGCCACATTCAAGGAAATTTCGAGGAAATAACTGAAGAGAATCTAATGGAGCGAGGCGCTAACAGAAGCTAGAGGTAATACCGGAAATGCGTAATAAATCATCACCTCACTTGAAACCTATAAAACTTATCAGAGTACGGAAAATACTTTTTTGTGTAACAAACATCGACATATACGTAACAACATAATTTATTTACATTTTACGCTGGCTTTGTATAAAATGAGAGAAAATTAGGTAGCCAACGTTGACATGAGCGTCACGTGATACTCGCTGAGCAGGACGTTTTTTCCGGTACGGATTTCAAAATAAATGTTTTGCTGCAAGTTCTCTGTCAAAGGTTTTTATTAATATCAAAATGTGTCAGTTGGGCATATTTATAATAAAAACCATATAAAACGATTTCATTATTTAATTAGCTATTTTTTTATATTAAAATTGTTATTAAAAGCGAATTAGGCTTGATCATTGTTTTTGGATCTTCTTATTTTAACTATAAAATGGAGTTAAGAAAATAATCCTAGCATTTCTAAATAGCTAAATCAATGATATTACAAAAGATAAAATTATATTTTATTAAGTGTAAAAAATTGAAAGGAGGACTGCAAATTATCAAATCTATGTAAAAATAAAAACTCAATCATGTTGCATTTTCTATTTCCCCCTTTATGGCCCATTCCTTTTGTTTCCCATTGTTGACAACAGCTTCTTGACATTTGGCTGTCTGAGCACAAAATACAAAGAGAAAGCTTTTGCTCATTCCTGTACATAAATCAGACCAAACGCTCAAAAATATAGGGCAAACACAACATAATTAGTGTAGCTGTTTAATGTTTTACAGGGTATTTTAGGGATCATTTTGTACACAAAAAAGCACAACATCCCCACAGCGTTTCTGTTGTATTACCCACTTTGAGTTGAGAGGAAGATGCAAAGAATTAACCACAAGCAGCTGCAATTAAATCTAAAATACAAGGCAAAACAGAAAGCTCACCATTCTAACAGAAATATGACTAAATACAAAATTAGAAAAGTGCCAAAATGTACTACACTACTAAATCTGTACAACAAAACACTAAAATGTTACAAATAAAACATAAAAGTGTGCAGTATATGGCATTGTGCAATACAGCTGATTGCAGTTATGGCAAATAAATGAAACATCATTTCAGACAAAACTACCATGCTGAGCATTAAAATAATCTTTTTTCGAAAGCATATGAAACAACAAGTTATAGAGAGCTATGGACAAATTCCTTCAAACAACTTTGTGACTAGGCAGCTGCAACAAATGCAGGAGTACATGTACGGATAAAAATAAAACAGCTGACAATCAAAAAAAATTAAAGTTGAATAAACTACGTATAAGTTGTTTTAATAGAAATGTCCAACAGCATCAAATTACATGAACTATCACAAGCCCTGCCAGAATACTAAAAAATAAATGCCTCACACAATAGTCGATTTTATGCATTTCTGTTTTTGTTAGTCGACATAAAAACACACGCTAGCTGCAAGTAAAAAAAAGTTTGTTTAGGAAACAACGTTTCACAGTATGTAATAATAATGAGAGGTGCAAACGTGATTCAGAAAGGACAAAAGCCAAAAACACTGAATGTGATTCTCAGAGCAGAAGAAATTACTGTATTTTCTGGACTATAAGTCACACTTTTTTTTAAAAGTCTGGCTGGTCCTGCGACTTGTATACCAAATTATGTAGGCTATACCGCGCTGCTGCGGGCCGGCTCCGACCCAGGAATGAGCTCTCTGTCCCACTGGGAGGGTTTGAAACACCGCCATTCTCTGCTGGAGACCGTGGCGAGCTGCTGCGCATACCGCTGATGCAACAGCTGGTTGTTTATTCTGTTATTGTTACTGGTACTTGTCTTGCAATGTGAAATGCTTGGTCTCAGAATTTGTTAAGAAAAATAATAAAATTTCTCCCCAAAATGCAACTTATGTATGTTTTTTTCTTCTTCATTATACTACATTTAATGGCTGGTGCGACTTATAGTCTGGAAAATATGGTACAGGGAGCATTAATGTGCATCTGAACCGACGGTACAATTTCAAAGCCTTTTTTTGCATTTTGATCCAACTTGGTAATCTCATAAATGTAGAGTAATGTAAACATGGTAAGTAACAATGAAAGATGTCAGGTGGGAGGGATTTATAACAAAATACCTGGCAGAGCTGTTTTTTGCCTTCATAATACTGCTGGTGAATACTGATATAGGATGACTTTTGAAGCCCAAACAGGAAAATCCTGCCCTTTTACCATTTATAAACACAAAGTCCCAGAAAGTATCAGACAGCTAATTTCTGTCCCTGAAAAAAAAAGTGTGGCGACAGGTTGTTTTTAAACAAAATTACCTAGCTCCCTTGTAAAGCTTAAAAGAGGCAAGAGACTAGAATTTCCCAAACGGAGTGTTGGCTTCACGCCATCTTAGTGAGACGGAGGCATTGGGGCTCAGCTATCTACGTTCTACAGTCAATGGCTGCTGTGTTAGCACAGTCTGGCCGCTGAGCTTCCTTTAATTGAGACTGCAGCAGTTCAAATAACTGATGGTTTTACCCTCGCCGGGCATTGGGGCAGTGTCATTGTTATCCAACTTGTTCTGTTTGGCCTCTCGAATGAGTTCACACGCCAGGTCGAGGAAAAGCTTCTCAACGTTGTCGGACTCTTTGGCCGACGTCTCCAGATATAGCATGCTCTGAGTCTGAGCGAAGTCTTCAGCCCTCTGCCTGAGAACTTCTCTCTTGTCTGCCAAATCAATTTTATTTCCTAAAAAAAATGCAAAATTAATTATTTTATCAGTTTGATATCGCAGTGACTCACTCAGACAGTCTGACTGGAAATTGTGTAATGAAACACATTGGAATTGAGGTGTGTGTGTGTGTGTGTGTGTGTGTGTGTGTGTGTGTGTGTGTGTGTGTGTGTGTGTGTGTGTGTGTGTGTGTGTGTGTAGCCCAGACCACACTGAGTTTTTCGGCTCTAGCACAGGACTGCTCGTCACACAAAGTCTCGCTCTAGAAGGACGTGCTACGTCATGAGCGCACCCCCAAAAAGGCATGTCAGCCAACAGCAGTGGCAGCTCCAGAAATTTTTTTCTGCAGATGCTATGAAGGAGCTAGTCTTTTTATTGAGGGTGCTATGAAGGAAGTGGTCATGCGTACCTATTGTTCTCCAAAACACCTTCAACACTAGCAGATACACATGCGTGCACAAAACCTCAACAACACCTGAAACAATCATTAATAAACATCATAAACATATGACTAATCGCTGACTTTTCCATGAAATCATGAACACAAACAGCCACACAGAAAACCTTCTATGATGTTGCGAGGTTAGCTAACGTTAGTGTTAGCATTTCCAGCGGCAAAACCCTCGACTGCTGCGGCGGTTGAGGGTTGACTCTTCATCCAGATCCGTAGGTTTTTGTGGGTCTGAGATCACTTCCAAAGATTCGTTCGTTTCTGACTGAACCCGTGGAAATTTGGGCAACAAAAACCGATCCATTTTACCACTAGCTCTACCTTTCACTCGTTCGCAGGTGGAAAATGAGGTCAAAGGCTAACATCAATTTCCTGTTTTGGTTTAAGTTTTTAATATCTATATGATAATTTACTGATTATTTTTGTTTTGTATGTTAAATATGATCACATCCACACTTTAAATTAAAATTTAATTGTAAAAAAAATCTAATATTTACTTGGGGGTGCTATGGGGGTGCAATGACTAATCCAGGGATAGCTATAGCGCCCCCTGGCACCGCCACTGGCCAACAGCAAACCAAAACAACAAAGAGAAAAAAGCACCGTGATTGACACTAATGTCTTTGGAGGTGAAGCAAAGAGCTAAAACCGGAGTAAACATCAGCATGGTCTTCACTCACGTGATGGAGCTGTAGGAGACTACTAAATCATGGACGGGTGGTGCCCTGGCTTTGTTGCTGCTGGACTTGTAAGTAATATTTTTTGTCCAACAGTGTGGATCTTTTTATTTCGTGGCTTATTTAGGAAGACTTGGCTCCTGTTAGTGTTAGCTCGTTGTTGGGTAGGCTGCAGCACGGTTGTTTATGACAGTTGTAAATACACTTTCAACCAGTAGGACGGAGAAAGGGTTTTGCGTCACTTTAAATGGGACTCGAATACTTCATGCCTGTACAGACAATTGTGGGTGGATGTAGACGTGTTCACAGCTATCTGACTGTTGCAGCTCCAGGGGTTTCCCTGTCTTTACAGTGGGCCTTGAAAACTTCCCCCACGCAGTATTTTTGTTGCATGTTTTGATGCAAACTTTGCATCACTCTCACAGACGGTGTAAACGTTTGTTTATGATATGTAACCGGACACCTCCACAGTGCAAACAAAGTGGGGAGGTGGATGCTTCGCTGCACACACCGGCTGCCCAGTAGGACCTACTGAAAGAAATTGATCAGAATATGCCAATCACATACTTTTTCATTAAAATCAGTCCATGGCCAATCGATCGGAACACCACTCATATAAATTTCAAGCATTTCCGACAAAAGACCTATTAATCACTGAGAAAGAAGAACGCCATGTTTTCTTACCGACTAATATAGTCACAACTTGGTTGTTGGCATACTGCTCAATCTCCCTCAGCCACTCTGGAAGGCACCTGAAGGAGTCCTCACAGGTAATGTCGTACGTGAGAATGAGGGCATTGGCACTACGGTAATAACTCTGAGTAATGGAGCGAAATCTCTCCTGGCCAGCTGTGTCCCAAATCTGCAACTAGAAAAACAACAGTACACGTGAAACTACCGCTCCGACCATGAATACAAACACTTTTAAGACATCATGATGATTCTAACTTACCTTGACCTTCTCCCCTTTGATTTCCACAGTTTTTATCATGAAATCTACTCCAATAGTAGCCCCTTGTCCAGGTGGGAAAAGGCCCTGAAATTTAACAGAGAAAGCTGAAATAAACACTCCCTTTTCTATGTTTATGTAGCAGAGTAGTAAAGCACCGACCTGAGTGAAGCGCCGGACGAGACATGTTTTCCCGACTCCAGCATTTCCTATGAGAACTATTTTGAACAAGTAGTCATAATCTTCCATGCTCATCCTAATCTGTGGAGAAATGTTTACACAGAAACCGATAAGTGGAGTGATGGCCGAGGCGCAGAGCTGCTGTGAAACACAAAGGGCAGCGTCCTCATGACTCGATCACTTCTGCCGAAACTGAGAGATACGACTAGCTTTCTGTGTGGATGGAAAGGAAATCCTAAACCTATGCATAAAAATAGGTCTGGGCAATAAATCGAAAATGTATCGTTATCGAAATGTCTGACTCTTATCGGGATAATTATCCCCATGTTAATAAATTTGATAATAAAAAAATGAAAAGGTGTATGTAGGTTGGCAAGGTTCGTGTCCCCTTAAGAAGATGCACCACCTTGAGTCACGTAAAAATGTGACAGCCCCATCTAGTGGACAACTTTTGTTTCTGTGCATACCTGTAGTTATCGTCCATTTATCGTTATCGAGGTGAAGTCCTCAATATATCATGATAGTGATTTTAGGCCATGCACATCCCTACATATAAATGCAATTTAAACTGAAAACCCTGTGAGGAAAATTATTTTGAAGCTTTAATTTTCAAGTTTCTTCATACAATAGTTTTTTTTTTTTAATCAAGTAAGACTAAATAGGTTTTTATATTTTAAGCTAGAGCTTTAACATTGATCTCACTCTCACCGATTGTTGGGTGAGAAACTTCATCAGTTTCATATTTGACACCACTCTGAACTCTGAAGCTAGCCTGGCCCCCTAGACCCATCCTCTGTTTAATTCTACACATGGAGAACTGGTCTGGTTACTCACAAGCAGAGAGGCGCATGAGGGGCGGGAATAGACAGCTCAAAAACAACCAATCAGAAAAAAGGCGGAAATGCCGACTGTATCACGCGATGCTATCGTTTTTTTTTAGCTGTAGTCAAAAATGGCGTCTGGCGAAGGCGCAAACATCGTTTTTTAGAAGAGGCTTGTAGCGCTTCTTCCTGTTGTGGTTTTAAAGACATTTCCAAGTCATTTAGAACAGAGGAAAGAGCCGCAGCAAACTCCGCTTCAGACACCATGTTTTAAACTCAGCGTGTGTGTGTGTGTGTGTGTGTGTGTGTGTGTGTGTGTGTGTGTGTGTGTGTGTGTGTGTGTGTGTGTGTGTGTGTGTGTGTGTGTGTGTGTGTGTCGTACGCTGCTCAGCGCTGATTGGCTCGGTTAGAATTCTCAGGGGGTGGGGTTATTTGAATAGGAGAGTCCCTAGACGCTCGCTTCCCATAAGGACGCGAGGGGCTGGCTGGTCATGCTACTCTAAAGCCCTCTCACGGCCCAAAAAACACACTTAAGTTTTGTGGAGCAGGTAGGTGTTCTGGGGGACGCTCCTTACCTGCTTTACGGCTGTTAGCTGTTACGCTAGCAGTTAGCTTTTTAAGCTTGCGTGTCATCAATAGAAAGCACAAGAAGTAGAATTTAGCTTTTTCTGTTGGCGTCATCATGGCAGAGACTGAGTAAAAGTAAGAGAATGACGTATTTGGAGGCAAAGCAAAGAGCTAAAACTAGAGCCGTTAGTGCGGCCTACACATTTTTTTGGAAAGCTAAAGGTGACCTAGCTTTGTTGCAGTTGGGTTTGTAAGTAAAATATTTTTTGTTCAACAGTGTGAATCTTTTTACTTGGTGTTCTTTGTAGTATTAGTTTGATCCTGTTAGTGTTAGCTTGTTGTTAGCGATAGTTACAGCAAGCTGTTGCAGTCTTGTTTATGACAGTTGTACTTCAACTTTCAACCAGTAGGGCAGAGGAGCAGGAAACTGGAGAGATCTTTACAGTACTACTACGGTGATACTTGCAACCCTAGGAGAGATGCACAGGCATTGACAGACATTTTACTTCAGACTTCTCCGTCACCTAGGGAGTGTTGCGAAGCAATTCCCCGTCAGGACAACAGAGGGCATAGAGCTATTCTGAGGTATCCTACCACCATTACAGTCACATATCCAGTCCACCATAGCGTATTTACATTATTTTAATGCATTTCAGGCTTTTTAATACGGACTAATTCATGTTATCGGTACCTCTAAACCGGGGTGGGGAACCCTGGTCCGTCGAGGGCCGCTATCCAGCATATTTTAGTTTCAACCCTGCATCATCACACCTGATTTCAATCAGCAGGTGATTAACAAGCTTCTGCAGAGCTTGATGAGCTGCAGAACAGGTGAATCAACCACTGAATCAGAAGTTTTCGAGCAAAGACATGCAGGATACCGGCCCTCGAGGACCTGGGTTCCCCACTCCTGCTCTAAACCCACATTTCTCGTCATTTCCGTCCACGAATAAAAGCTTGCTGCCTATCTTTGTACTCGTTCAGTCACGGGAGAATAAACGTTCATAATTTCTGACTTTCCTGTGAGGCGTTCTTCAATCTGTTCTGTGTCTACCACTAGATATCTTTTATTTTTTGACAGGGCGGTTGCCACAGACATTATTTATTAGCAATGGCGGTGCTGTTGACGAATTTACAGGAAGCAGTGTCATGAACAATCACAAGCTTGCGTTCTCCGTCACTTTTAATGGATAGTTAAAAATTGGGGCGTGTCTCCTTCATCCTCTGCAAAGCTATCGGGAGAGCCCTTGCGCCGACACATAATGGCGTTGCATGTCTCTGCACCAATGCAGACAGAGAAGTGTAAATTAGGCTTTAGACAACTGCTTACGTACAGACGTCAATCACAGCACGTCTGCAAGTTTTTGAGGACATACCTAGACTGATGCAGACTTGGCAACATTTCTCGTGGACAAGCTAGCTTTTAAAATATGCATGCATATAAATAAACAACATAGAATGAGAAGAATAATTGTTAAACAACATATTTTAGCTCTCTTTGCTGGCTAGAGGTCAGCGTTCACGAACAAGAGGCGTTCTCTTACGGTGCAACACATTTGTCAACCACCAGATGGTGCCATCTGATGGAAAAACTCCAGATTGCACCTTTGAGTCCAAAAGAAATGTGGTTATTGTTGTACCTCCTCCCTCCTTTATGATAAATGTGCATGTTCTTATGTAAATTGTAAAACAGTGATTTTGCGAATGAATAATACATTGATTAACATTATATTAATATTAGAAAAGATCAAATAAAATTACATTTGAACCCCACTGAGGCTAATTTAAGTTACTTTGGTTTGGATTTTTATTTATTTTTTGTTCATATTTACGTATTTGTTTTTCTAAGTTCTCTCAACTACTTTGCTGGCTTACTGTTTTTCTTTTTTCTGTTGCATGTGAGGAAGGACCATATGAGAAATTAGGTTTCATCTAAAATATTTTCCTAAATGTAAATAAATAGATTGGTTTGAAAGATTTTTTTAACCAATGGCTGTAAAATAGGTCTTAACATTATTTTGGAGCAACTGGAGTAAAACAAATGGCATTATTACCAATAGATAAATAGGCTAATTATCTGTCTGCCTTGTAAACTGTTGATACCACAGGGGGCATTAATTAAAGCTAGCTTGAATATAAAAACGTTCGGTATCGCGCCCCTTTTTTCTTCCTAATGTTTGATAAAGCAAAAGATAAAGCCTCCAACTCCTGTTTGCTCTGACTTGGTCTTCCACTTCTTGTCAATAATAATTTACCTTCTTCGAGCTAGCAACAGTGGCTACTAGCAGAGCTGCCGTGTGTTTAGCCATTTTGGCAGCCTCTGCAGATGCAGGAGGAGGAGGAGGAGAAAAATCAAAGTCTGCCCAGTGAATCGAGACGGGAAATAGTTTGCACTTACCAAAAAACACGGGGATATCCCCGGACTTGTAACTACTTGGTATGCATATGTCACCTCCTCAAATAAGCAAAACCGCTGCTGGGCAGGGCATTATTTCCCCGGCTGTGAGTTGCGTCCTAGCAGGCAGCCCCAGTAGCAGCAGCAGCCCGTCTGAAAAAGGAGGAGGGAGGAAGAGGGGGGCAATGCACTGAATGATGTCATTCACTCACGTAAGGCTAATCCACTATGTTATGCTTCAGTACACACCATAGACAAAGCATATAGTTCACATTTCTTTCATGTGCACTTAGTTGTGTTGTTAAATAAAAAAACTGTACACAAAACCGTAGTCTTTGGTGATTGTTGTGTAGTACGCTGCTAGCTGAAATCGATGCTAAACACCGTTTTATTTAATGTAATTGTTTGTGTTTGTTGTTCTCAGGAGCTAGCTAGCAAATTGAATGTTTTGTCTTCTTGTCCTGGTTGCTAGGAAACAGATCAGGCGGAACCACTCTCAGTTGTTGTTTTATCCGGACAAGTTGAGAGGTTGCACGTCATGTCCTTGACTTCCTACGAGAGGTGATAGCTAGCTATTAGCTGGAGCGTGTGTCCCGACAGGTAACCGGACTTCTCGTTCCGGGCTAAATTATTCGCCATGGGACTTATTCCAGAAGAGGGAAAGTCTCTCCCTCCTCCGGGAATCGTGAACAGGTACTCGGTGTGGCTGTCCGGGGCCGGCTGGCTCACCGCGATGCTTCATAATGCTATGGCTCGCAGGCCTCCGCTCAAATCAGGTTAGCATCTAGAAGTCCCATTTCTGCAGAGAAAGACACAATTATGCCGTCTGCCCAACATTTTATTATAATACGAATTATACTTTGAGTTGATGTTTATTGAATATTGTTTCGATCTACCTTCGGTCCTGCATGTTTTAGGCGCTTCTGCAGAAAACAACTGATTCTAGCTTCTCAGCATGAATCAAGTGTGATAAACGATCAGCACTGCCTTCTAGATTACCCAGTGTTGTGTTTGCTTACTTAATGCATGATTTGGAATATGTTAACATATGTTTATAAGCAAAAGCTAAGAGCTAAAGACAAAGGTAAAGCATCCGCATGTCTCAACATGCAAGAAAAGTTGTGTATTTGTCCCATGTAGTCCACATTGTTGCAGTTCTGTTTAATCTGGGGATCCAAATCGTCCAGCTCAGATTTATGTTGTATGACTATGCAAAATTTATATTTTAAAATTTTATGCATTCATAGAATTTGTTACTGTACTGATTTGCCAGTGCTATGCCTATTTTAGCATGCTTGTTGTTTTATCTTATGTACCGTCACGGCTTCCTCTATTCTGAAATTTCCAAATTGACTTTTGTTTTATTAATGTACTCATTTTGATCTTATTCTAATCTGTTTGATTTCTGTGCTTATTTACTGTCATGCATTTAAGATGTTCAGCATCTTAAATTTTGCTTGTTTGAAAAGTGTATTATAAATAAAATTGAATTGAATTTGTTTCGTTTCAGGCGTCCATCGACAGGTTCTTTTTGCAACTATCGGCTGGTTCATCGGCTATCATCTTGTGAAATTTGAAAACTACGCCTATGCCAAACGGGACCGAGATATGAACGAGTACATGAAACTCCACCCAGAGAGATTTCCAGTAAAGGGTAAATTGGCTTAATCTGTCCATCTGGCTATACTTTGTGGGGTAGATTAGCTCAAACAGCCCTGAAATAGTGCAGACATGCTAGCTGATACATCGATCCAGTTTGAAGTTTAGGGCCGATATTCCAAATATGAGGAATTGTGGTTTAAAATCAGAATTTTCTGATCAGTCAGATGTTACTGAGAATTTGCTTTCCTGTTTAAAACTAGACTGACTGTTCATGTTTGTGTGCAATATAATAGTTTTTCTATTTCTTTGATCCCACCAGAAAAAAAGACCTTTGCAGAGATCGTCGAGCCCTTCTATCCTGTGCGCTAAGTTGCTGCTGAGATGAAGAATGAAGAGAAAAGAGAGGATATTGTGCAGACCGTTTTTGTCTGTAGCTGCCTGTTGGTGTGGAAAAAAAATGTAAATTAAAAAATCCTAAATTAATAACTTTCTAACTGCAGTTTTTTTTCCTACATTGATAATATCTTTATTCATAAATCACACAACGCTTAGAATAAAACCTTTGATTGTATGTGACTATTTTAAAAGCTAGATTACGGAAAATAAACAGAAAACTTCATGGTTAAATAAAGTGAGATTCAACTGATAAGTTTTGGCAAAGCACATTTATTCCATGTCCAAAAGTATCTCGGGGTCACTGGATGACACTTTAATAACACAACGTTTTTTTGTTTCAGCGTTAATCTGCAACTCCAATAATGTCCAAGTATTTCTCAGTCAGGCTCTTGGTCTTTTTGGTGAGTTCACTCATCACAGAAAACATTCCTCTCAGATGGAAGAGAAACACTGCCTCAGGATCAGCGTCTGCTACCGAATCTGGGCTCTTGGCGAGTGCCATGTTCTTGGCTTTGTGATCGTCTAGCAGAACCAGGCTGTTCTCCACCGTGTTCCGGACAGCCTTGAGCATTAGGTAGTTGGCGTACAGATCTCTGCAGGTCTCTTTGGCTGCTTCGCAGTCAGAGGGCACATCTCTCAGAAGGCTGGGTAGCAGAATGGTTCTCTCCATGTCACTGACGGCCGAGCTGTATCGTGTCAGAGTCAGGATCAGACTGTTGCGGTTAAGTTCGGTCGCGGTGAACTGCATGGTCCTGAGCTGTGGTGGCAGACAGTAGGAAGCGGTGTGCAATGCAAAGCTCTGGAAACAGACACAGCTGTTTATATGATGGCTGAAGGTGGGTTGATCCTTGCAGTTATGTAACTGCATCATCCGATAAATTTAGCAAACCTCGAGTGCTACCCGGAGTCAGACCTTATCTTTTATTTGATTTGCGCAACTCGCCGTCTTTGAATTTCTCATTTCTGCACAGTTTGGACTGAAAAGTATCACTTAAATGATTAACTTGTCATGTTTGAATGACCTTCAGGATGGGCTGATCATTTCACTTGTAGGTGCAGATCTGAGTTGGTTTAATCTAAAGTGAACTTTTGGTGACGGATCATATTTAGCGGATTTGATTTGAACTTTTTTTTTTTTTGCTGCACATGCAGAAAACAAATTCAATGTTTATTTTTAAAAACAAGACCAGACGTGTGCATTTGTATTTAAATTAACAATAAAAACTTTAAGAACAAGCCACCACCAAATCAACATTTTTTTACTGATAAACTATATAAATGAGTGTCTAATCATGCTGTAAACTATGCAGTCAATAATTTGGCACTTTAGTGCCTCTTAGTTAAAATTTAAATATTCTACCTTAAACTTTTCAGTGTTGCGCCGTCGTCAGGTTAAAAACTGCACTACATTTGAATTTAAATCTGCCATCGCTATTGGCTAAGAGGTACACAATGACGTTAGCTGGTACATTAAATGATTTATGACCCACACTTGTATAGCGTTTTTCAGAGTAAGGACTCCAAAGCGATTTACACTACAGTGTATCATTCATCCATTCACACACACTGGTGGTGATGAGCTACGATGTAGCCACAGCTGCCCTGGGGCGCACTGACAGAGGCAAGGTTGCCAAGCACAGGCGCCACCGGTCCCTTTGACCACCACCAACAGGCAAGGTGGGTTAAGTTTCTTGCCCAAGGACACAACAGCAGAATTCTCTGTCCGGAGCCGGGGTCGAACCTGCAACCTTCCAATTAAAGGACAACCCGCTCAACCTGTTGAGCTACTGCCTTTTACTAAGTATGTGAGAAATGTGTGATGTACGGGTTGTAAAATCTGGTGAGTTTTGCGCTGAGCGTCGTGTAGTATACAGGGGGTTACGAGAGGCAACTAACACCACATGACCAGCTACCAATCAGCAATCGTGAGCTTGCACGGACTTCTGGAGTGTTTGATATTTTGCTCGTTCCTCGTGAGGGTTGAAGCGGCGCAGGGAGCAGCTGCAACCCAAAAAGTACCAGAACCGCTCACGGTGCATGCGCATTCATGCATCAACACAGCTCACCCCGCGTTGTTCGCTTTTATTTCTAAATATTTTTTTTGTACACACAGTGACAAGGATTGTCAAGAAAGCGTGTTTGTCGTGTTCATGTCGAATTAAACTGATCACAAAACACAGATTTACTTTATTTCGTTTTCCTCATCTAACCCCCATAAATCCCTGTGTGTCCTGCAGCACTCCTGAAGGACAACAGGCAAAACAAGACAAAAAAGTCTGACGTGTTGTGTAAAAACTGCTATTTTTAGCATATTTTTAGGTCCAACGTGTTGCTACCAGACGTAAAGTGTGAGCAGTCAGGTCGCATGCGAGAACTGGGTCGTACAGTGTGAGCACATGACTCGTGAGATCTGCCCTGCGAGGAAGTCATACAGTTTGAGCTGAAGCTCAGTAGCCTAGTGAACTAGACCAAATTCTTGCTTTGTAAATAATACATTTATTTAGTCTGGCTTGCCAGGCTAGAAGCTGAGTGCTACGAGTGAAAAAGTTGCACAGTGTCCGCCCGGCTTTATATAATTTATCAGCAAAAAAAAAAAAGGTTGATTTGGGGGTGAGTTGCTCTTTAAGCTAGATCGTTAACAATGATCTCAGAGATTGTTGGGTTAGAAAGTCGACAAGTTTTATATTTGACATCATTCTGCACTCTGCAGACCAAACATCACACTTGACAGTTTTGTGAAGCAGGTAGGTGGCTTATAGAGGGAGCTCTTTACCCGCATTATGATTGTTAGCTGTAATGCTAGCGATTAGCATTTTCAGTTAGCATATCATTAATAAAAAAGCACAAGAAGAAGAAAAAGACGAAGTTTGCATTTTCTGTTTGCACCGTGGCAGAGCCCAGAAGTAAAAGTAAGTCAGTAATGTATTTGGAAGCGAAGCAGAGATAAAACCAGAGTGAACATTGGCATGTTCTTACAGTAGTTTGAGGAAGCTGAAGGAGGCTACAAAATCACAGACTGATGGTGACACGTCTAAGAAATAATACCTTTTGTCCAACAGTGTGGATGTTATTACTTTATGGTTTAATTAGCTCGTTGTTAGCACAAGTTACAGCAGGGTTGTGCAGAACTGCGCTGCTCTGGGTGGCTGCATGTTGGGAGTAGCTCTGTTGACTAGATGTAAGTTTTGCCTTTCTTTGGACATTTTTCTTCTAGTTTCTCAAGAAAAACTGTATTTTTTTGGACATTTTACTTTTCTGTTTCTGGTGCTGTAAAGCTTAGAGGATTTTTAATGCTATTTTTTCACTTTTTGTGCATTTGTTATTATGCGAAACCATGGCAACAAGCTTGTTTACAATCGGGAGCAGCTGATTAACATTGGAAAGGTTGAAACAATACCTCAACTGAAGCCGCAAATCCCAAATGAGCTAAAACGAAACCCTACTAAAGCCGGGCGGACACAGTGCAACTTTTTCACTTTTTTGAGCAATTTTTTCCACTCGTGTGAAAATCCACAAGATCAGGGCGATTTTTGCGTGAGCGTCGTGTAGTATACAGGGGTTACGAGAGGCGATTGACACCACGTGACCAGCTACCGATCAGCAATCGTGAGCTCGCACGGACTTCTGGAGTGTTTGATATTTTGCTCATTCCTCGTGAGGGTTGAAGCGGCGCAGTGAGCGGCTGCAACCCAGAAAGTACCAGAACCGCTCACGGTGCATGCGCATTCATGCATCAACACCGCTCACCTGCTATTTCCCTAATAACACACGTTGTTCGTTTTTATTTCTAAACGTTTTTTTACACACAGTGACAAGGATTGTCAAGAAAGCGTGTTTGCCGTGTTCATGTCGAATTAAACTGATCACAAAACACAGAATTACTTTCTTTATTTCGTTTTCCTCATCCAACCTCCATAAATCCCTGTGTGTCCTCCTGCAGCACTCCCGAAGGACAACAGGCAAAAAAACACAAAAAAGTCTGACGTGTTGTGTGAAAACTGCTATTTTTAGCATATTTTTAGGTCCGACGTGTTGCTACCAGACGCACAGTGTGAGCAGGTCGCATCCGAGAACTGGGTCGTACAGTGTGAGCACATGTCTCGTAAGATCTGCCCTGCGAGGAAGTCGTACAGTTTGAGCTGAAGCTGAGTGCTACGAGTGAAAAAGTCGCACAGTGTCCGCCCAACTTTATTTAGTTTATCAGAAAAAAAGGTTGATTTGGGGGTGAGTTGCTCTTTAAGCTAGATCATTAACAATGATCTCAGAGATTGTTGGGGTAGAACGTCGACAAGTTTTATATTTGACATCATTCTGCACTCTGCAGACCAAACATCACACTTGACAGTTTTGTGAAGCAGGTAGGTGGCTTATAGAGGGAGTTCTTTACCTGCATTATGATTGTTAGCTGTAATGCTAGCGATTAGCATTTTCTGTTAGCATATCATTAATAAAAAAGCACAAGAAGAAGAAAAAGACGAAGTTTGCATTTTCTGTTTGCACCGTGGCAGAGCCCAGAAGTAAAAGTAAGAGAGTATTGCCTTTGGAAGCAAAGCAGAGATAACACCAGAGTTAACATTGGCATGTTCTTACAGTAGTTTGAGGAAGCTGAAGGAGGCTACAAAATCACAGACTGATGGAGACCTGTCTTTGTTGCTACTGGACTTTTAAGAAATAATACCTTTTGTCCAACAGTGTGGATGTTATTGCTTTATGGTTTAATTAGCTTGTTGTTAGCACAAGTTACAGCAGGGTTGTTCCAGAACTGCGCTGCTCTGGGTGGCTGCATGTTGGAGTAGCTCTGTTGACTAGATGTAAGTTTTGCCTTTTTTTGGACATTTTTCTTCTAGTTTCTCAAGAAAAACTGTATTTTTTGGACATTTTACTTTTCTGTTTCTGGTGCTGTGAAGCTTAGAGGATTTTTAGTGCTATTTTTTCACTTTTTGGGCATTTGTTATGATGCGAAACTATGGCAACAAGCTTGTTTACAATTGGGAGCAGCTGATTAACATTGGAAAGGCTGAAATAATACCTCAACTGAAGCCGCAAATCCCAAATGAGCTAAAACGCAACCCTTCTAAAGCCGAGCGGACACTGTGCGACTTTTTCACTTTTTTGAGCAATTTTTTCCACTCGTGCGAAAATCCACAAGATCGGGGCGAGTTTTCCGCTGAGCGTCGTGTAGTATACAGGGGGTTACGAGAGGCGATTGACACCACGTGACCAGCTACCGATCAGCAATCGTGAGCTCGCACGGACTTCTGGAGTGTTTGATATTTTGATCGTTCCTCGTGAGGGTTGAAGTGGCGCGGGGAGCGGCTGCAACCCAAAAAGTACCAGAACCGCTCACGGTGCATGCGCATTCATGCATCAACACCGCTCACCCGCTATTTCCCTAATAACACACGTTGTTCGTTTTTATTTCTTAACGTTTTTTTTTTTTTACACACAGTGACAAGGATTGTCAAGAACGCGTGTTTATCGTGTTCATGTCAAATTAAACTGATCACAAAACACAGAATTACTTTCTTTATTTCGTTTTCCTCATCCAACCCCCATAAATCCCTGTGTGTCCTCCTGCAGCACTCCCGAAGGACAACAGGCAAAAAAAACACAGAAAAGTCTGACGTGTTGTGTGAAAACTGCAATTTTTAGCATATTTTTAGGTCCGACGTGTTGCTACGAGACGTACAGTGTGAGCAGTCAGGTCGCATCCGAGAACTGGGTCGTACAGTGTGAGCACATGACTCGTGAGATCTGCCCTGCGAGGAAGTCGTACAGTTTGAGCTGAAGCTGAGTGCTACGAGTGAAAAAGTCACACAGTGTCCGTCCAGCTTTATATAGTTTATCAGCAAAAAAAAAAGTTGATTTGTGGGTGAGTTGCTCTTAAGCTAGATTGTTAACAATGATCTCAGAGATTGTTGGGTTAGAAAGTTGACAAGTTTTATATTTGACATCATTCTGCACTCTGCAGACCAAACATCACACTTGACAGTTTTGTGAAGCAGGTAGGTGGCTTATAGAGGGAGCTCTTTACCTGCATTATGATTGTTAGCTGTAATGCTAGCGATTAGCATTTCAGTTTGCATATCATTAATAAAAAGCACAAGAAGAAAAAGACGAAGTTTGCTTTTTCTGTTTGCACCGTGGCATAGCCCGGAAGTAAAAGTAAGAGAGTATTGTCTTTGGAAGCGAAGCAGAGATAACACCAGAGTTAACATTGGCATGTTCTTACAGTAGTTTGAGGAAGCTGAAGGAGGCTACAAAATCACAGACTGATGGTGACCTGTCTTTGTTGCTACTGGACTTTTAAGAAAGAATACCTTTTGTCCAACAGTGTGGATGTTATTACTTTATGGTTTAATTAGCTCGTTGTTAGCACAAGTTACAGCAGGGTTGTTCCAGAACTGTTTCCATCATGGGAGAAGAAGTGGAGGTGGTTGAGGAATACAAATACCTTGGAGTTCACCTGGACAACAGACTGGACTGGAGAAAGAACAGCAAAGCCGTTTACAAGAAGGGACACAGCAGACTTTATTTCTTGAGGACGCTTAGGTCCTTCAGTGTCTGTAGCAAGATGCTGCAGATCTTCTACAAGTCTGTTGTTGAGAGTGTAATCTCTTCAGCCATCGTTTGTTGGGGTAGTAGCATCAGAAGCAGGGACCTGAAAAGGCTCAACAGCATAATAACAAAGGCTGGTTCTGTTCTGGGGATGACTGTGGAACCACTGGAGGAGATAATGCAGAGAAGGATTCTCCAGAGAATCAAGAAAATAATGGACAACCCTGAGCATTCTCTTCACAAGACTGTCTGACAACGGAAGAGTGTCTTCAGTCAGAGGCTTCTTCAGTTTCGCTGCAACACTGACCGCTACTGGAGATCCTTCCTGCCAACAGCCATTGTAATATACAATAACTCTTTGACGACTTGATTATTATTATTATTATTATTATGAGCTACTACAGCAATCAATTTCCCTCTGGGATTAATAAAGTATTTTTGAATTGAATTGAACTGAACAGTTGTAACTCTACTTTCAACCAGTAGGGCAGAGGAACAGCTGCTCCATGTTATTTTAAAGAGCAAGTCACCCCCAAAAAACATTTTTCTGATAAACTATATAAATGAGTGTCTAATCGTGCTGCAGACACGTGTAGTCAATAGTTTTCCACTTTAGTGCATTTTAGTTAAAATTTTAATTTTCTGCCTAAAACTGTTAATGTTGTGCCATTGTCAGGTAAACACTGCACTGCATTTGAATTTAAATCAGCCATCCCTATTGGCTAAGAGGTACCCTAGAACGTTAGCTGGTGCCATATGATGTCAAAATGTCATTGTGAGCCTGTGCGGGCATGTATTTGTTAGCGGCTACGCCCTCTCGGTCTGCTAGGGAACAGCATTTGTTGCATTTTTCAAACAGGAAGTGGGAGCTGAGTAAGAATCTGGTAGGGGTGACTTGCTCTTTAAAACTGGTTTTAAATGTGGACTTAAAGAATGAAATCTTGGTAAACACAGATCACTTCACACATATTCGTCTCTAAATCAACATTTACTTGTCACATCTCTAACTTTTTTAGATCGCCTCTCCCTGTTTTGAACCATCAACAATCAAAATTAAAAAAAAACTATAAAGACAACTCATTACCTTAGTTCAGTTTCTACAGTTTGAAATGCTTTTCTTTCACATTTTCATATTCAGTTATCTAAAAAAATAAGATTTAAGCAACTTTAACATCAACATATTCTTTTAATAAAGGCATCCTTGTTGTCTTAGAATTTACAACATAGTCAAATTTTACATGTCCTGTACATAATGACGAACATCTATGCCAATAGAGCTCCGGGAGTTGACGTCACTTCTCCCGGCATGCAACAGTTCAAATCGAAACAGCGCCATATTGGCAGACAGAAGCCTGCAGCTGGTCTATTTGTGATTGTCAGAAAACTCAAACGGGAAATATGGTAGATTCCTGTTGTGCCCCAGGATGCAGAACAGATGCGGACGACATGAGGGATGAGCCATCTACAGGATTCCCCAAGATCCGGAGCGCCGCAAACGTTGGATCATTGTAATAAAACGCGCTAGTGACCGGGCTGAAATGAAGCTGTGGGATCCCGAGAGTAAAGGTTTTCGCTTATGCAGCGACCACTTCATATCAGGTACTTAAACCAACATTTCCTCGACTGTGTATGGTGTTTATTTTAAATGCTTTTATTACGATTCTTAGTGGGCGTCATAAACTTATTTTGCCGTGGCTTTTTCTGTCTTATTACTCACAGCAACAAGTAAACGTCACGTAAAACGTTGCCTCGTGAGTTCTGCGTGCTGCCGTTTACGTGTTTTATGATCACAGCAATTAACCGGCTAAGCTGTATTTAACTTTTAAGCAATGGTTGATCAATTGTCAGATCACACATAAAAAGCACTTTGGATTGCTCTTATCTGTCTCACCGAGACAGATCTCAGACAGATTCTGAGACGCTCCTGCCTGACATATTTATTTTATTCACGGAAAAAAATCAAACTGGTGATTTCTCTTGGCGTTCAGTTTGTACATTCAAACAGCACAGCACTCTATTTAAACTACTTACAAGTAAATCTATGTTATTTGTCCATCCATCCATCCATCCATCCATTTTCATCCGCTTATCCGGAGTCGGGTTGCGGGGGCAGTAGCCTAAGTCGAGAGGCCCAGACTTCCCTCTCCCCAGCCACTTGGGCCAGCTCCTCCGGGGGAATCCCAAGGCGTTCCCTGGCCAGGTCCGGTAAGAAGTCCGCTCCGACAGCTTCTGGCATTTTTAAAAAGTATCCCAGGGGCACGGTAAGGGTCGGAGATGTTTAGTCTATTTCATTTCTGACTATATAAAACGATTTCTTCAGTTTTAAAGTGTGAAGTAAACTCCGACGAAGTAAAATCTAAGCTGATCCCGTTTATTTTGTTTACCTTTGTTGCCTGCCAACATGGCTTCTACTCTCTGAGAGTCACGTGACGTCCGGAGCTCTATAGCAGCAAGTTTCTAACTAGTTTCTAACCAGAAGTAAAAAATGTTATGGTGACCCTAAAGACTAATCCACATGATCCTGGTTGTTTTTAATGAAACAAATCAAAATACAATTCTTAGATTCATGTTGTATTAAAGCCTGTTGAACTCCACTCATCCCCCATTAGTTTTCTCTTTGCATCTGATATTTCTGTGCATGAAAGCGCTGCTTCAACACTTGTGCTCCATTCAAAACGAGCAGATCTGACTTTATTGTCCTGTTTGCCCAACATTGAGTCACATAGGAAAACCTTGGAGGAAATCTGTGTTTTCTCACTGGAACAAAATGTACAAAACGTGTGTTACTCCTAAAGAAGCTGTAATCAAAGTGCTGGGAGCACTAGAAAAAGAGAAAAGGAACTGAAGCTCTTTCCCTCTCAGCGTCACAGCTCAGTCAGTTAATTTGGTGCCGTCAGAGATTGGATTAACTCTTCCAAGCACAACCTTTTTTCAGCTCTGAACTCCACCTACAGTCCTGCTCGCTAGACTCATTTTACAGCTTTCCTCTTCTGACCGTTGATGATGATTTCCAGGACATGAGTGAGATCCATCATCCTTGTGAGCATATCCATGATGTCCGGATGCTCCTTAGCTCCACTGATGAACTCCTCCAGTGTCAGTTCACCTGGGAAACAAAAAAAAAAATTTAAATATAGTGTTGTTTCTAACAACGAATCACTATTTTACATGATCTGGAAGCTGCATTTGTTCCTAATTATTTATTACCTTCTCTTTTGATGTCAATTTTTTCATAAATAAGAGTCACAATCTCATCTGGATGGATGTCATAATTTCTAGTGATGTCTTGAATGGCCTAAAAGAGGAGTAAAGATTAGCTATGATTTACAAAGTGCAAAAACAGAAAAATACACACTTAAATGTATCATTTAGGTGGGTTGTCTCATATTTCCAGTGCAGTCTAAATCAAACAGCTTTTAATGATTAATAATCTGCACGTTTGTGATGTAACAAACAAGTAAAATGTGCAACAGTGGTAGTGTTTGTTGCGTTATTTGGACTGTGAGTTAGATAATAGCTAAGACCGTATTTAGCTCTCTGGTGAGGTAACAGGAACCCAGATTAGGTGTGAAGTTTAGTTCATGTCCTGTTATAAACAACGCTAAAATAGTCGATGACCCAAGCTGCCGTTTCCTGGGAATGCAAGACTTGTTTGGGCATTTTATTTTAAAAAAGCATTTACCTTAAAAATAGTCTCCAGTTCCTCCTTGTCGATTTTTCCATTTCCATCTTGGTCAAAAAGCTTAAAGTACCACTTTAGTTTCTGGTTTACTTCTCCTTTCAGTAACAAACTTATTGCTGCGATGTATTCAACAAAGTCCAAATAGCCGTCCTGGATGAGAAGAACAGAACAGGGCATAAACATTTCTGCTTAAATGCAAAATCACAAATAGGTTAAACTTATAATTTAGAAAATTCTGATCTCTAAAGTTTAAAAATCTTTTGACGTGTCCTACAACATTGAAAACATGCAAAAACTAACAAATACTTTCTTTCCAACAGCAACTGAACTGCTGAAGAAGTTGTTTGAATCAATAGTCTACTCATCATTTCTCTTTTACCCTGTAATAAAAAAATGTTGAATTTACTTAACCAAGTTATGTCAACTGTGTCCACTAAACCTTCGCGTTTAAATGTAAAGAGTAAATACAATGTAATAGGATATTATGTTAAAAGTACAGTGGGGCTAAAAAGTATTTAGTCAGCCACCGATTGTACAAGTTCTCCCACTTAAAATGATGACAGAGGTCAGTAATTTACATCATAGGTACACGTCAACTGTGAGAGACAGAATATGAAAAAAAAATCCATGAATTCACATGGCAGGATTTTTAAAGAATTTATTTGTAAATCAGGGTGGAAAATAAGTATTTGGTCACTTCAAACAAGGAAAATCTCTGGCTCTCACAGACCTGTAACGTCTTCTTTAAGAAGCTTTTCTGTCCTCCACTCGTTACCTGTATTAATGGCACCTGTTTCAACTCATTATCTGTATAAAAGACACCTGTCCACAGCCTCAAACAGTCAGACTCCAAACTCCACTATGGCCAAGACCAAAGAGCTTTCGAAGGACACCAGGAAAAGAATTGTAGACCTGCACCAGACTGGGAACAGTGAATCTACAATAGGCAAGCAGCTTGGTGTGAAAAAAGCAACTGTGGGAGCAATTATCAGAAAATGGAAGACATACAAGACCACTGATAATCTCCCTCGATCTGGGGCTCCACACAAGATGTCATCCCGTGGGGTCAAAATGATCATGAGAACGGTGAGCAAGGATCCCAGAACCACACGGGGGGACCTGGTGAATGACCTGCAGAGAGCTGGGACCACAGTAACAAAGGTCACCATCAGTAACACACTACAACGGCAGAGAATCAAATCCTGCAGTGCCAGACGTGTTCCGCTGCTGAAGCCAGTGCATGTCCAGGCCTGTCTGAAGTCTTCCAGAGAGCACATGGATGATACAGCAGAGGATTGGGAGAATGTCATGTGGTCAGATGAAACCAAAGTAGAACTTTTTGGTATAAACTCAACTCGTCGTGTTTGGAGGAAGAAGAATACTGAGTTGCATCCCAAGAACACCATACCTACTGCGAAGCATAGGGGTGGGAACATCATGCTTTGGGGCTGTTTTTCTGCTAAGGGGACAGGACGACTGATCCGTGTTAAGGACAGAATGAATGGGGCCATGTACAGGTGCTGGCCAGTAAATTAGAATATCATCAAAAGGTTGAAGATATTTCAGTAATTCCATTCAAAACGTGAAACTTGTACATTATATTCATGCAATGCACACAGACCAATGTATTTCCAATGTTAATTACATTTAAATTTGATATTCATAAGTGACAACTAATGAAAACTCCAAATTTGGTATCTCAAAAAATTAGAATATTCTGAAAAGGCTGAATATAGAAGACACCTGCTGCCACTCTAATCAGCTGATTTACTCAAAACACCTGCAAAGGCCTTTAAAAGGTCCCTCAGTCTTGTTTTGAAGGCACCACAATCATGGGGAAGACTTCTGACTTAACAGCTGTCCAAAAGACAATCATTGACACCTTGCACAAGGAGGGCAAGACACAAAAGGTGATTGCTAAAGAAGCTGGCTGTTCGCAGAGCTCTGTGTCCAAGCACATTAACAGACAGGCGAAGGGACGGAAAAAATGTGGTAGAAAAAAGTGTACAAGCTCTAGGGATAACCGCACCCTGCAGAGAATTGTGACGACAAACCCATTCAAAAATGTGGGGGAGATCCACAAAGAGTGGACTGCAGCTGGAGTCAGCGCTTCAAGAACCACCACGAGGAGACTCATGAAAGACATGGGATTCAGGTGTCGCATTCCGTGTGTCAAGCCACTCTTGAACAAGAAACAGCGCAAGAAGCGTCTCGCCTGGGCCAAGGACAAAAAGGACTGGACTGATGCTGAGTGGTCCAAAGTTATGTTTTCTGATGAAAGCAAGTTCTGCATTTCCTTTGGAAATCAAGGACCCAGAGTCTGGAGGAAGAGCGGAGAAGCACAGAATCCACGTTGCATGAGGTCCAGTGTAAAGTTTCCACCGTCAGTGATGGTGTGGGGTGCCATGTCATCTGCCGGTGTTGGCCCACTCTGTTTCCTGAGGTCCAGGGTCAATGCAGCCGTCTACCAGGAAGTTTTAGAGCACTTCATGCTTCCTGCTGCTGACCAACTTTATGGGGATGCAGACTTCACCTTTCAACAGGACTTGGCACCTGCACACAGTGCCAAAACCACCAGCACCTGGTTCAAGGACCATGGTATCCCTGTCCTTGATTGGCCAGCAAACTCGCCTGACCTTAACCCCATAGAAAATCTATGGGGTATTGTGAAGCAGAGGATGCAATACGCTAGACCCAACAATGCAGAGGAGCTGAAGACGACTATCAGAGCAACCTGGGCTCTCATAACACCTGAGCAGTGCCACAGACTGATCGAGTCCGCATTACTGCAGTTATTGAGGCAAAAGGAGCCCCGACTAAGTATTGAGTGCTATACATGCACATTCTTTTCATGTTCATTCTTTTCAGTTGGCCAACATTAGAGAAACAAACATTTTTTCATTGGCCTTTAGAATATTCTAATTTTCTGAGATACCAGATTTGATGTTTTCATTGGTTGTCACCTATAAATATCAAATTTAAATGTAATGAACATTGGAAATACATTGGTCTGTGTGCATTGCATGAATATAATGTACAAGTTTCACGTTTTGAATGGAATTACTGAAATATTTTCAACCTTTTGATGATATTCTAATTTACTGGCCAGCACCTGTATTGTGAGATTCTGAGCCAAAACCTCCTTCCATCAGTGAGAGCTTTGAAGATGAAACGTGGCTGGGCCTTCCAACACAACAATGATCCCAAACACACCACCCGGGCAACAAAGGAGTGGCTCCGTAAGAAGCATTTGAAAGTCCTGGAGTGGCCTAGCCAGTCTCCAGACCTCAACCCCATAGAAAATCTGTGGAGGGAGTTGAAAGTCCGTGTTGCTCGGCGACAGCCCCAAAACAGCACTGCTCTCGAGAAGATCTGCATGGAGGAATGGGCCAAAATACCAGCTACTGTGTGTGCGAACCTGGTAAAGACCTATAGTAATCATTTGACCTCTGTTATTGCCAACAAAGGTTATGTTACAAAGTATTGAGTTGAATTTTTGTTATTGACCAAATACTTATTTTCCACCCTGATTTACAAATAAATTCTTTAAAAATCCTGACATGTGAATTCATGGATTTTTTTTCACATTCTCTCTCTCACAGTTGAAGTGTACCTATGATGAAAATTACTGACCTCTGTCATCATTTTAAGTGGGAGAACTTGCACAATCGGTGGCTGACTAAATACGTTTTTGCCCCACTGTACATTTATACCACTCTTTGCATTTAAGCAACTAGCTTAGTGGAATCTGTTTACATAACTTGGTTAAGTAAATTCAGCATTTCATTTCTTACAGTGTAGCTGGCTCAAACACTGTTATTAATATTGTTAATGTAGGTAAACAAATAGAGAAGTTGAATGTTTCCTACCCCATCCATGTCAAAGGTCAGGAAGACTTGGTCCACATAACTGCTGGCCTCCTCCGTCATCCCGTTCATTTCCAGCATGGTCTTGAGCTCAAACAGCGTGATGAGTCCTGAAGGAGACTCCCTCATGAACTTTGTGTACCAGTGGTGCATGTCCTCCTCCAGGATGTCGTCCAGGCTCGATCCGTAGGAACCCATTACTCCTTTTTGGGGGGTCTGGGTGTGCTTTTGTCACAAATCCTGCAGGGAGCTGGTGGAGAAACTACGGCTGGAGAAGAATATGTGGCTCCTCCTGATGTCTTAACCCGATGCGCCTCCCGCCCTAATCTTTAAGCCCAAAGGACAGATAACTCTTTAATGGGATCGTTGCAGATACTTCCTAGAACTCCAGGACTTTGCATAGTTGTAAACAAAAGTAGAACACAGTTGTCATGGAGGGTGTTATTTTAAAGCAGCTTCACTTTTTCTCGTCATTTAACATTCATCAGCCATTTTTTAAATTAATTATAAGCATTTATTTGAATAAATAACATGCTTTTTATCACATTTAGAGGGTAAAATATGTTTTATGAGTGTTTTTACTTAAAATGTATTTAATGAAGAATTCAATACATTATTATTTGCATGATTTTTAAGTTATAAGGACTCTCCTTTAGTGTTGCTTCCTGTTTGCAGCAGAGCTGCTGCTTATAGTAAATCTGGCTTTAGGTGAAAATAGGATTGAGAAGGTAGACCACCAGTTGCTAATGTTTGTTAGCCTGTAGGAGGATTTTGCTCTGCAGAGCAATCAATTTACAAATATATAGGCTACTGGTGAAACTTGAAAAGTTAGAATATGGCGCAAAAAGTTCATTTATGAATATCTTAAAAGGTGAAACTAATATGAGATAGACTCATTACATGCAAAGCTAGAAATTTCAAACCTTTATGTTTGTGATGATTATGGGTCACAGTTTATGAAAACCCCAAATTTAAAATCTCAGAAGATTAGAATATTGTGAAAAGGTTCAATATTCTAGGCTCAAAGTCTGATCAGCTAATGAATCCAAAACACCTGTAAAGGGTTCCTAGGGCGTTAAAGGGAGACTAGGTAGTTTTAGCACCCCCTAGTGCCCATTTGTAGAACCAAAAGTAAAATCTCTCTGTGTGTTTGTCTTTTTAACATCTTAATCTAATAGCTGAAATGTCTCCCCAGCCTTCCTTAGTGTCCACAGGAGTGATTAATAACTAAATCAAATAAATCAGCTATGTTCATGATCTAAAACATGCAGGAAAAGCAGCTCAATTTTTTTCTTAGTCCCAGCAATCGGACCGGCAACTCTGAAGTTGCAAGTGGAACATTCTGGCCACCGGCGGCAAATGGGACTAGCTGGCCTTTCATTAACCCTGTAAAGTCATTCTAGCATATACTGGCTCAAGAAAATTAGATATGAAATGGTTGTAAAGTATCCCTTTAAATGGTCTCTCAGCCTTAGATTTACTGAAATAAAAGGACTTTTACGCCATATTCTAATTTTTTGAGTTTCTCATGTATATCCATGGAACAGAAAGAGTAACTGAGGCCTGGAGAGTGTGTGATGTAGCTGGTTGGTGTTCCTGTATTTCCTCTGATTAAAGCAAAGTCTGAGAGAACTGCTGGGTGGTCCACTCTTCCTTGTGTGAAAACTACCAGAGGACTGTTCAGTGTAACTTCAGCGATACTAAGCAGTTTTCCTTGCTTCTAGCACCCCCTAGTGTCTGTTATTAATCACCTGTGGTCAAACCAAAAGTGAAACCTATCTCCTCGCTGTGCATTTTTCTTTTTAACACCTTAATCTAACAGCTAAAAGGTCTCCCCGGCCTTCATTAGTGTCTACAGTAGTGGTTTGCTACTATGATCTAAAATATGCAGGAAATGGGCTGGAAGCAGACTGCAGCGCCAGGCATGTAAGCTCAATTTCTTACATCCAACAGGTGGAGACCCACCACACTGAAGTTGCATGTGCGATATTCTGGCCACAGAGGGCGATGGGGTCTGAATGATATGTCATTAACTCTTTAAAGAGTCATTTGAACACTTACTGCTTGAAGAAAATGATTTAAAAATATTAAAAAGATGCATAGTGTGCCTCTAAAACAAAACATTCAAAAATTCAGTTTGAGTCATAGAATTGCACAGATCGTCTCCACACAGCTGGCATCAACACTCCAAGTAAAAAACTGTCCTCCACCGTTACATGAAACTGTTTACCGGTATGTCACAGCGTCAACTGTCAAATGTGCCCCAAGGGCCGTGGTAACAGTTTCCAAATGATACTTGCTCACGTTCAACACGACAAATGAAAAATGACTCGTCAGAAAAATTCACAGAGTCGTAATAAAAACAAACATTCCCTGACCTCTATCATGTGAGGTCCTTCACACGGCTAGTGTTCATTATGTGCGTGGACAGGAAGCATCCTGTGGTGCTCCACAACCACACACGGCAACAGACTCTCACGAGGTTTAGTGTTTGCTTCAGAACCAAGAAGCTGGTTTTCCACTCCATTTCCCAACACCCCTCATCTGCGCATTAGGGACATCTTTAGTGAAGTGGGGGTGACAGACATGTCGCCTGACCCCTGGTCACTGAGAAACTGTCTGAACACGTTCTTCACCACCTCCAAGCTCACAGTGAAGTTCCTCAGCTCCTCCAGGTTCTCCTCTGGCAGCTTAAACATCAGCTGGTACAGAACAGTCGCAGAACCCTCGCTAGGATGGAAGAACAACCGAATGTTGGGTTTGAGAAACTCCTGTGGTGTCATGTTGTAGCTAAAAACAAGAATGCTGCAAGACGACTGGGTTTGTTACCTGGAAAGGAGCGCCTCGGCTCGAATGAAGTACCGCCCCAGAGCTGGGGAGGATTTGTAGACTGTGTTCAGCTGTGAAGGGGAAAACACAAGAAAATCACTTTTATTAATGATTATCCCAACCCAGTTGTTCACTTTCAGCGTCTTTGTGCTGCTAGAGGCATTTAAGTCAAAACTGTGTGAAAGTAAAAATCAGCTGAAGGGGGTTTTAGTTGTTAGTTTGTGATTCAGCCCTCTGAACAGAAACGATTAGATAAAAGCTATTTTATCTAATATTTATAACATAACCGTCTCCCTAAAACATTTACACAAATTAGGCATCAATAGAAAGCCGTTAAGTAATAGCTTTTGTGACATTTATGTGGATCTGGTGCTGTCATGCTTTTTACATTCCTGTGGTGCCATGGTAACCTTGATAACAAAGTAACCGTCTGGGCGTTGAATTTTTTTCGCTGCCATACTATTTCCTACATGCCGGAGCATGCAGTCAGAGTTAAGAGTTGTGCAGATTTTTAGGCTGAAATTTGTCATTTCCCTCTTGACTTCTGCACAAAAGTCTTCTGAGGTTTGCAAGCCTAAGTCAATAATATTAACCCTTTGATGCATAATGGTCACTACAGTGGACAGGTACTCAAAATTGTTATTTCTTCATTTTTGCTATTAAGCACAGCTGTTGAAGACTTTATTGCATGTGAGCCCCTCCATTTGGACTTCAGTAAGTCAAGCCAACATATTTCATGCTCAGAATGCACGCTGTCCACTGAAATGGACATGTAATAAATTATTTGTAAATTAACAAAATGTTACAAAGAATGTTTGTTGAAATTTGTTTCATTCACACCTAAAGATGAATGAAAAAAATTGTTTAAAAAATCATGGTTGAAGATCTCATAATTCATGCATCAGAGGGTTAATTATAATGTAAAAAAAAAAGTCATGAAGTATTCTGGGGGACTTTGCTTATTCTCCAGACATTTGTTTACGTCTTTGATCACATAAAAACAGCTGACTAGGAGTGTGTGATATGACAATAATAGATTAGGAAGGATCTGAACTATCATTTTGAAGCACCAAACATCTACAGTAAGAATCTCGTTTGGTTGTGAGTGAGCTTTAAAAGGTCAACTTTACACATTTTTCAATGCATTTGCAGTGGCTTCTAATTAATGCCTTGTAAGTTGTTATCTGGGGATGAAAAGCTCCAGTGCAGCAGGTGAAATCTGCTGGAGGAAAAAGTGGTCTTCCTGACATTTAGATATCTCGTCTCTGATTGGCTAACAGCAACGCGACTCTACCACTGACTCGGTTTGTTTTGCAAAGCTGATGTTTTATCTCCAGAAATAACAGAAGCCTGGAGAATTTCTCCTGTGTGGTGTAGTTGCTAATGCTATCGTTAGCTTCTACTAGCCGAGATGTTCTCTGCCGTTTCCTAGATGCTAAACAGCTTCCTTCCCCGTCGTGAGTCAAGACGGATGAGTCTGTGAATGTGAAGTGACGTTGGGCTGTCGGGCTTCTCCAAACCTAGTGGTTTTTTTGGTATATTTTCAATCAGAAGCTAATGCAGGAAAGACGGGTAGAGGATTTTTTTCATGTTCAGCTTGCATGAAAAACTAAGTATTGACTGATTATTTTCAGAAATAACAATTACAAAATGGTTTCTCAGTGAACCTGCTCTTTAACACTGAAAAAAATTAATGTTTCGGATTATAATCAGTCACCCTGTTTTTCCTGCAGGCTAAACATGAAACTAGTCTTCTACACCCATCTCCTGCTTTAGCTTCTGATAGAAAATAAACAGGGAAATGCTAGAATTTGAAGAGCCTGGCATCACACTGTTACTTAACAATCATGGATTCACCCATCTTAACTTGTGATGTTGTTGGTTTAGCGTCCATGAAACAGCGTCTCGGCTAGGACAAGCTAACCGTTAGCATTAGCGACACCAACACATGACAAAACTCCTTCAAGCTTGTGTTATTTGTGGAGATAAAACATCAACGTTCCAAAGCAAACAGAGTCAGTGGTAGAGTTGTGTTGCTGTTAACCAGTCCAAGATGGGATGTCTAAGTAAGACTCCAAATCCTGCTGTCTGAAGCTCTCCTCTGATGTGGCCATCTTCTAGTTCCTGAAACAGGCTCACCATGCTTTCTGTACGCAGAGTACAACTTACAAGGTATTCATACTAGAGACCACTGCAAATGATAAATGCGTGAACCTAACCTCTAAGGCATGTTTGCTTGTTCTGTCTGACTTTTAAGACTTTTCTCTCAAAATGATACAGAAAAAAACAAAAATTACCTAAATGACTGATGTGTGCAGCCAAGAGAGATTATGTAACTTTTTGATGTCTACTTTGCATTAACAAGTTATAGCAATACTACAGGCTATGAATACTAACGAGCATGAATCAGTTATTGTGAATGCAAATAAAAATGGTTTGAACCTTGTCTTCAAAGTATCCGAGTACTTGATTCCCAGAGGAATGGTTGGACGTGATCTGGAAACTTCCGTTAAAGTTCTGCGGGACTATGAACAGTGACTTGTCATAGTTTTCATCTTCATCTTTATGCATCCCTGTAAAAAAAAAAAAGTATCAAAGCCTCAAAAGTTGTTTTTACAGTTATACAAGATAACTCGCTAACCTGAATCGCTGCTTTCCTGCACAAATCCTTTCAACTGCATTATTTTTTTATTGGTTTGTAATTCTAATTTTAAACAAATATCGTATTTAATTGAGAATGGTGGAGCTGTTATTATGGGGAAATCCTTAAAAAAACCTCATGTGCATCTGATGCAAGAGCTTGCACAACCTGTTCCAGCTCAGAGGAGTTGTGGTATTTTGGCCTGTTGGTGACAAAAGAACCTAATAACGTACACGTGCACAGAGCCAGAGAGATGAAGATCACAGCAACGATGAGGAGGAGCACGACAGGGATAACCATCCACACTTTGCATCTCCAGATCTTCGCATTCAGATGATCTTTCATTCTGTCCATCCAGCTCTTTTCAAAGAACAAAACATTGATTTTATTAACACACAACTACAACCTGAAGATAAGCAAACTAACGCTTTTCCTTAACATTACAGTCAGATCAACTTTAAATCAAATTTTAGAAGAAGTTGCTAATTTACAAAAACGTTTATACCGGTTCCTCTTGTGTTCGTTCTGCCTGTCCAGGGTCAGGAGTCTTCTGGGAGAAAACACGAAGAAACACGACTAAATAAGCAACTTTTTGCTTTTATTGTGCAACTAGAGTAATTCAAAGACTGGTCATGAACTATGAATGTTTGAACTTTTTCCATGTGACACCGTGATACACCACAACACTCAAAACACTTGAATGTGTGCAGCTGTTTTATGACATAATGAATATTGTGGGTTTTTATTTATTCCAGCTCTTCTGACGTTCTCTGCAATATGTGGATTTTAAGTAACTTGTGTTTAAACTTCAATGTTTAAATCTGCAGTAACTAGCTTCTTCTTTAAATATACTTTATTTGTACATTTTAAATTCAAAATGTACCTTTTTATGTTGTTTACTCGTGCACCTGAAAAGCACATTTAATTGGCCCTGTGTATTATATATGCTCTATAAAGAAAACCCCTCAAAAATACGAAATCTATGAGGAATTCGGTCAGGAATTATACAACCGTTTCTTAAAATTGCACAATAAATTGCTAAATAATTGTTACAAAAACATGAAAGAAACTACATTTGAGAAAGAAAAGAGGAATTGCAAGACAAATCATTCAAGACGCTGATAATTTTGCTATAACTAAAAAAAACTTACCTCAAACCTTAGATATTTAGCTGAATCTGCAACGTCCGATCCAGCTCTATGAGCCGCAGGACTCTGAAACATTTACAAATAATATTTAAAAAAAATATTGCAAATTATTGTGTATGATGATGCATTTGTGTGTGTCGTTTACATTTAATTTATAATAATCATCTGGGTCTACGTTAGGTTTAATCTAACCCGTAAAAACCAGATTATGAAGAGATCCATTATTATTAAAAGACAAAATACAAATATTGAATAAGCTGACATGGTTATTTGAAGATGAAACTTTTGTCCATCAGCGGTCATTCAGTTACAGTCCTCAGCTAAAATGAGTTATTTAAAGCTTCTGGTTACTGAAACTAAACGGATTATTTTAAATATCCCACCTCGTTTTCTGGAATGTACACCGTCACTTCTGCGTCTTGTTGCTCCATGGCTAGCTGCAGGGAATACCCGGAAGTGCGAACCTTCAAATACCTTAAATACCGCTTTCCGGCGGACCCTGAACGCCTCGGCTCTAAAACATCTAAACTCTCTCACAAATTAAAATATGGACGTTCTTCGTCAGAGACGCCCGCACCAGGAAAGCTCCTCCAACACACGCAGGTAGAGAACGTCTCACTTCACCGCCTCTTCTCCCGCAGATAAACTCAACAGGTGAGTTTTTTTTCTCCCAGGTTTCAGTTCAGCTGAAAAGATGACTCAGGAGAGGCGGGGCAGTCGGGAATGGAACGCGCCCACGCAACTCTGGACTTTTTACCGCGGTGAAGTTAGCTTGAAGTTGACGTACAGACATTGGTTTACACGGTCAGCGATGGGTCTTCATGCCGTGCACTGCGGCACGGACAGCGGTTAGCTGAATAACGAGGACTCGCTATAGGGAGCGGTGGTTCGCTTAGGGACTCGACAAATGTGTAGTCCTTTGTAAACGAGTACAAAAAAATTAAAAGCTTCCAGAATAATTTGCTAAATGACTCAAAATTACTTCTGACTTGTGTTACTAAATTACATTTACAAGGCACAACAGTTTTAACACATTTCACACAATCTGATCTTTTTTATTAGGATTTTATTCAAAAATTAAGGGATTTTTTTTCAATAGCTCCTAGGTAAATCAGTCTAAATACACAAAACCATTTCTCAATGTTGTTACTAAGCCAGACCAACGAGACACGGCAGTTTTTAACACCTTTCATACAATCGGATCTTTTTTTTATTAAGATTTTCATGAAAAATTCTGTGATTTCTTTCAATACCTCTTAGGTTAATTGATTTTACTACTCAAAACCATTTCTCAATTGTGTTAAGCTAGACCAATGAGACTCAGCAATTTTTAATAACTTTCATACAATCTCATCTTTTTTTTGGGGGGGGGGGGATTTTATCCAAAATTACGGGATTTTTTTCAATAGCTCCTAGGTAAATCAGTCTAAATACACAAAACCATTTCTCTATTGTGTTACTAAGCTAGATCAATGAGACACAACAGTTGTTAACACCTTTCATACGATCTGATCTTTTTTATTAGGATTTTTATTTAAAAAATTTGGGATTTTTTTCAATAGCTCCTAGGTAAATTAGTCATAATACCCAAAACCATTTCTCAATGATATTACTAAGCCAGACCAACGAGACACAGCATTTATTATCACATTTCACATGATTCAACATATTTTATTAGGATTTTTATCAAAAAAAATTAAGTGATTTCTTTCAATAGATCCTATGTTAATTGCTCTAAACACCAGAAACCATTTCTAAATGATGTTACTTAGCCAGACCGATCTGGGAGATACTGAGTCAAAATGCACATTGCGTCAGTGACCGCCTTTCTTCCTTCTCTGTAAAATGTTTGTGTTTGAATTTAGCATAATTAAATTTTAAATGGATCGTTTTTGCCAGGATGTCCTGAAGGAAGTGAAATATTTACCTACAGCTCAAATTACAGATGTCCGGTTTAGGTTTCAAATGGTTTTCAACTTTTAAAATAAACACATTCTGCAAACAAATTCTGCCCAAAAACATGTTTTTCACCAATGTTGAGATGTTTAACAATGAATTAAAGGGACACTTTACACATTTTTCATATTTTTAATCATTTTCTTAAGACAGTATGTGCTAAAATGAGCCTTTACAGGGTTAATGAAAGGCCACCCAGCCCCTATCCCCCCTGTGCCCAGTATAATCCACTTGCAACTTCGGGATTTAGCTGACATACCTGGAGCTGCAGTCTGCTTCCAGCACATTTCCTGCATGCTTTAGATCATGAACATAGCTGATTTGTTTCATTTAGTGATGAATCACTCCTGTAGACACTGAGGAAGGCTGGGGAGACACTTCAGCTGTTAGATTAATGTGTTAAAAAGACGAACGCACAGGGAGGAGATGGGTTTTGCTTTCAGTTCTACAAACAGACACTAGGGGGTGCTAAAAGCAAGCATAAACTGCCTTGTTCCATTTTTAAAAGGCATTGTGGCCACACACACACACACACATGTTTGTTTGACTTAAATGATAGTTTTTGGTATTACTGCATCTTGTATATTTTTTACCAGCAAAATCATACAGAAGTCGCATTAACATTCCACTCAGAAACATGCAAAGTCAAAATACTATCAAATGTAAATAAAGTCAGTTGTTTGTACGTGATCACTTCCGAAGGTCTTCCAGAGCTTACCGTGAACTCTGGATTGTTTGCTTTCTTTTGTTCAGTCGCGTATCTGATTCGGTTTGTCTTTAAAAAATCTCCTAAAACTCACATGGTTAGCCAGCTTTGTGCCAAGAATTAACAAAAAACTTAAAAAAGATTTCCAATGTGTTCTTTGGGCACTTTGACATCAGCAGCCTGCTCTAAACCCGATTTATTGTTTTTTTGTGACTTTTTTTTTTTCAAATCCTGTTCATCTGTTTTATAGTTATTTATGCTTCTTTTGTCCTCCGCTGTCCACTGTTCTCGTTATTTAAGCACAATATGCAATCCAGGTCAGGTAAATAAACCAGGTTTAATATTTTTAGGGGGAAAAAAATTGAAATAATTTCAAGAAAACGTTTGAAAGTCCCTCAGATACGATGGGAAAACTCAAGACCAGTGTAAAACATACTAGGAAGTCTTGTTAATTGGAAGCCAAGAGTAAAGCAATGAGCAGAAGGTTTAAAAATATTTATACGTCAAAGAAAATATACAACCTTAATTTAAAGTAATCTGATATTAGAATAAACATTTATTTATCTGAAATCATAAATCTAATATGTTTACATTTATCTGTAGCTCCTATGTATATCAGTATTGTTTTGTAACAGCCTCTAGATGTGGACACATGACTGGTAGCTGTCATAAAAACAGCAGACTTTGTACCTCCTGTGATTGTGGATAAAACATCAGCTCCTTGTTTCCATAAATCTGCTGTTTCTCTCCTTCATTCTCTGACCTTTTCCACAGCTGGCCAGGAGAGGGCAACAAAGCATTATAAAAGAGAAGTTCTCTGGCTGAAAGCACAGAATAATTAAAAAAACATTTTAATAGTTCACATTGCACCATGTTCTCCAGAATCTGCCTCCAGAGGCGTCTTGGCCTGCTCCTCCGTCTCATCTTCTCCTTCTAGCTGCTCTAACGGCTGCTGATCCTCCTTCAAAGCCTCCGCGGGCGTGACTTGTTCCATTTCCTGTTCCAAATCCCCCCTCTCGTCTGGGTCACTCTGGGTTTCTTCGGCCTCCATCTTTTCACAGTCTTCCTCTCGGTGTTCTTTCAGACCTCCCAGATGCCCAGATTCAGCCTGCTCCTCGTCCCCGTTTTCTCTTGGAAAATCCAGTTCACACGGGGGCTGTTGGCCATTAGCGGCTTCCACTTCCTCTCCTGCTGCCCTTCTGTGCTGCCTGGTGGGTGGGCGTCTCTTGAACGATAACCGTGCGCGAGTCTGTGTGGAAAACATAAATTTGATTAGAGCTCCTCAAACCAACAAAGGGATATATAATTAAATATCTTTTTTTCATCCTTAAATGATTTCTGTGCACAGATCTAATTAGTGTTTGCGTGAGAACACCTCACAAGAGGTACCTGAGGCTAACTAGGCTAAGGGGATTAAATCCTCAATCCACCATTTTGCACTGGATTATCTCAGACCTGTTAATACAGAAGATGCTCAGCAACCAATGAAGCACATCAGCAGGGACCGAGTGCATTTGCCTAAAGCTGTGTGATGGGCCTCGGCTCATTTTGGTTCATTAGTGCCTTCTTTAGTCTTTTAAATGACAAATAAACTAAAATAGCACATAAATTAAAGGGATTAAATTGGCTGTGTCGTAAGCAGATTTGTGTTTTCTGTGCTGCACAGCTGGTGTGTTCACCTTGTTGAAGCTTGGCAGCGGCGTGCCTTCAGGGGGGCTGTCGAAGCTGATGGGATCCTCCTCTTCGCTGGAAGGCTGTGACGGTCTTAAGGGGGGGCTCAGGGGGCTGCAGGCCAAGGCAGGGGACAACTGTGCCGGCTGCAGCTTTACCTCAGGAGCTTTGGGCGAAGGCAGCAGAGCGGTGGGGGACAGAGCAAGGTTGGCCTGCAGGGAGGAAGCAACATCCTGAAATAATTTCTGCTAAACTCAGATCAACTTATTAAGACATCTAATTTTTTTAATGCAGATCAATGGAGATCCATGCATTTAGGTTGTCAGAAAGTAAACATTTTGTCACTCAGATTTTCTGTCCTCTATTTTAAAATATTTCTGCTTTCAAAAACTCCTCAGATGAGTACAAACACTAACTTTATCCTCCCTAAAATGGGTTCAAGACAACCGGGGCATCCTACCTGCACAGGGGAGAAGAGGAAGAGGGAGAACCGGCAGCCTTTTTGTCCCATGGCTGCCCGTCGGTGGGAACCGATAACTAAAGGATCTAATGTGATGAGTTAGAGCCTCACCAGAACCCCCGTGGCCCGTAATCCCATCAAGTCATTAATCTGAGCAGATTGTGCCATCGGGGGAAACCCCTCCCTCCTTTCTGCCCTGAGTATCTTTGGCTGCACCAGCACAAACGCAATAGTAGGGGGCAGCAGTGACTCGAGCAGCCACTGTTTAATAACACTTTTTATCATTGCAGCTTTTATTTTATAACTGAATAATGAAACAACACAAACCTGCAGCTTCTCAATCATGGCTGAGTTCCTCAGCTTTATTTTAATGCTACTGGGTGATGCTGGTTTCTGTAATAAAAACAGTCAGATCTGAATTAAACACAGGAAATTCACGTTGACATGATTGCTGCCTTTATATACCTTCTAATAAATACAGTAAAAATGACAACAATACTAAGAGGAAACAAAATGCTATTCTCCAAATAATTTATTTTACTACGTTGTAAATTTTAATAACGTTAAAGTTTATTTTTTGCAGCATAAGACAAAATCTTCCTTGTAAAGTAGTGAAAAGTTAAAAGTGACAATTGAAAAAGTTGTGATAAAAATAGATTCATAAAAAATCAGAGGTTATTAAAGATAAAATAGTATTTCATGGTAAATGGCTTGCATTTGATGGTGTCTTCTAGGGTTCTACAACCCCCCAAGGCGCTTCACAACACAGGTAGTCATTCACACACACACACACACACACACACACACACACACACACACACACACACACACACACACACACACACATTCACACCCAGGTGAACTGTTTCGTGATTGTTGCAACATGTATAAACTTTATTTTCCCATCCATATTTAGCAACAAGGAGAGAGTATGTGATTGCAGCAACCACAGTTGACCACAGGATGTCACTATTACTTAATTCTTACACAATGCACCCTTAACTGTAACAGCTAAAAACATACTTAATATTTAGATTAGAATTACATTTTACTTTTTATATTTGTTGTTATTTTTGTCGTCTAATTCTTCTTTTTCCTGTTAGTTTTCTTCCTTTATCATGAGTATGTTTCAAAATCTTCCAACTTTATTTAATTTTATGAAATTAGACTAATAAAGCAAAAACATGAAGTTAAATTGTGAAAAGGAGAGAAATAATTTAGTATGAATTGCATAATTTAATAGCATCACTGATAAATAACAAATAAGAAATTATAAAAAATATACACACCCTTCCTGCAGACATTCATGAAGAAGAATAAAATTCTCGAGATGACTCCATTACCTTTAGTTTTTATAATTTTTCTAAATATTTGTTTTACTTTTAATTCCTACAAAATTTTCACTTTTTGTTTCTCCTCTCTTTAAAAAATCTAAATGTTATTGCTTAAAATTAAAGAGCAAGTCACTCCAATTCAACATTTTTTGCTGATAAATTATATAAATGAGTGTCTGACAAGTGTAACCAATAATTCGGCATTTTAGTTCATCTTAGTTAAAATTTAAATATTCTGCCTAAAACTGTCAGCGATGCACCGTCGTCAGGTAAAAACTCAGCACTGCATTTGAATTTAAATCTGCCATCGCTATTGGCTAGGAGGTACTCTATGATGTTAGATGGTACATTATGATGTCACAATGTCGTGAGTGTGTGTGTTTGTTAGTGGCTCCACCCTCTCGGTCTGCTAGGCATTTGTTGCATTTTTCAAACAGGAAGTGGGAGTTGAGTAAGAATCTGGTAGGGGGTGACTTGCTCTTTAAATAAAAATGAAACCTAAACTAAATGACAGTGTTTTCCTATAATTCTTTTATTTTTCTCTTTTGTATCAATAGAAAAAAGTTTTAGAGGTCTTAATATTTACTTAGACTGTTGCAATTGATAATAATTACTTAAATGTACAATTATTGTCTGAATTAGATCATGTAATGCTCTCTTTATGACAAATAATATGGATTCCTATAATAATGCACAGACAGGAAACATTTTCTCTATTATGTCAGGTGGAATTAGAAAAGGGAAAAGCGCATTAGTCAACAAGGACTGTGATGCTGCACGATAAATCCAGAAAAAGTCAATTACTCACAGAAGACTCATCATTTTCTTGTTCTGGACTTTGAAACTTCAGGGAGCTTGGAGGTTTTCTTCTAAACGGCACCTAAAAAGAGACATAGAGGAGAGAAAAATCTGTTAGCAATGAGCAATTAAAAAAACTGAAAACAGATATAAAATGTGCAGCGACCTCATCATTTGAGTTGGAAATTGGCAGAATTTGACCTTTTAACCTTCCAGCCAGCTCCGCCACAGAAGGCTTGGATGGAGAATCCTTCTGCGGAGAAAAAAAACCACATTAAATGATACTCTTCCCTGATTTCCTTTGTTGCCGTGCAGGAAAACTACAAATAATTTTTCAATTAATGTGCACAAAGCAAATCTGCACAGTTTTCATCCTTTAGAAGACTCGATGTTTCACTTCCTTTTCCTCCTTGGGAGAAAATGCAGCCGAGCTGAGACACTGAGTTGGGGAGGAATACCAGCTTGGGTCTGTTTTTTGAAGAACTGAACCAAAACTTAAAGAGGACAGGAAATGAGTCTCTCACCCTGCAGCTGTTCAGCATCACGCTGCAGCATGTGACAGCAGCGACCCAGCACCCAGTCGCTATCACTCTTTCCTGTCCTTCCCAGTATTCCCAGGCTGTTTTCTGCACACCCCCTCTTTGAGGAGGACTCTATCTGGAGTTGCAGTGATAAGCAGGAGCCCAGTGAGTAAGAGCTGCATACTCTCCTGCATCATGTTGCTATTTCATAATTTCCATCATTCTTTTTCCCCTTCCTTTCACCTCATGTCTCCATTTTATTCAAATTGAGCTCTAAAATATTTATTTTTCTCCTCCAAACTCACTGTGTGTTTCCTGAGTCATGCACATCCAGTGCCTTCAGACCCAGATTTTTTTTCTTTTGGTGTGCAAACGTTGGATCTCTGCCCATAAAAACACAGATCTCCCAGAGCGTCACAGAAACACATTCCAAATGTTAATCTCACGCCTTGTTTTGTTTTTCTGTTCTTGTTCCCAACATGACCCCACCATCAACCGCCTCTCCTCCACCCAAGCATGGAGGCTTCTCTCAAATCCCAAACCTTTCCCTGAGCTCTCTTCTCTCCTGTTTGATAAACAGCATTTACTAGGATCCGCCCCCCCAGCACCATTATTTTGCAACATCTAATTGTTAACTCCTTCCTGTTCTTCGTAAACAAAGGCCCCCTCATGACCAAACCAAACCAGAGTCACAAGCGTGCAAAGCAAAGGAAGCGGCGCTCTTTGTTTTGAGTTGTTGCTCAGATGTTTTTGGGTGAACAAATGTTTTATTTTTTATTTTTTCTTCTAATTTCTGTAAAAATGCTGTCGCTCTGGGCTCGAAGCTTGGAACAAAGATTTGTAAAAAAAAAATTAAAATTAAAAATAGAATAGAAGAATAGAATAGAATAATCCTTTAATAGTCCCACAAGGGGAAATTTGGTTGTGTCAGCAGCAACATCACACATATACAAACAATGCAGGACACAGAACAGAAGCACAGTTATTACCTATTTACATCATGGACAATAGTTACCAGAGCAGAGTACAATACAGTTGTTTATATAGGCGCACACATATTGTGTAAGCATAGCAGGATACTGAAGATGTTAAAATAGTTTTAAAAGTTTAAGATGATTAAAAGAGTGCAGATTGTTTATTTTTTACCCATTCATTAAAAAGTAGACATGTAGCCTTCAATAAATTATTGCATGTATAAGCTGAGAAAAAGTAATGTGTAAGTTATAATTGTAGAAGTTATTACAGCACTGATGCCGACAACTGTTTTGTTTGGGAGCAGTTCTGATTGTACAGTCTAACAGCTGCAGGGAGGAAGGACCTTCGGAAACGCTCCTTCATGCATCTAGGATGCAGCAGTCTGTCACTAAAGGAGCTCTGCAGTTCAGCAACATTTACATGCATGGGGTGGGAGACTCTGTCCATCAGAGATGTTATTTTGGCCAGAGACCTTCTGTCTCCCACCACCTGCACTGGGTCTAGGGTGCATCCTAGAACAGAGCTGGCCTTCCTGATGAGTTTATCCAACCTCTTCCTCTCAGCTGCCAATAAACTGCTGCTCCAACATACCACACTGTAGAAAATGACAGATGCTACCACAGAGTCATAGAAGCTCTTTAAAAGCGCTCCCTGTACCCCAAATGACCTCAGCCGCCTCAGCAGGTAGAGTCTGCTCTGACCCTTCCTATAAAGAGCATCCGTGTTGTGGCTCCAGTCCAGTTTATTATTCAGGTGAACACCCAGGTACCTATAAGAGTCCACTATCTCAATGCCCACTCCCTGGATGTTCACCGGTGTCACTGTGGTGGGTCTGCGTCTCCTGAAATCCACCACCAACTCCTTGGTTTTCCCGGCGTTGATCAGCAGATGGTTCTGCTGACAACAGTCCACAAAGTCCAGAGTCCCCTGTCTGTACTCTGAGTCATCCTCACCTGTGATGAGGCCAACTATGGCAGAGTCGTCAGAGAACTTCTGTAGGTGGCAGCGTGGGGAGCTGATGGAGAAGTCAGCAGTGTAGAGGGTGAAAAGGAACGGTGCCAGCACAGTTCCCTGTGGGGCCCCCGTACTGCAGACCAGCGTGTCAGAGACACAGCCCTGTGACCTCACATACTGTGGTCGTTCTGTGAGGTAGTCCAGTATCCACTGAGACATGTGGTGGTCCACTCCCGATAGCTCCAACTTATCTTTCAGAAGTCGTGGTTGGATGGTGTTGAAAGCACTGGAGAAATCAAAAAACATGATCCTCACAGTGCTTCCAGGCTTCTCCAGGTGAGTCAGAGCTCGGTGCAGAAGGTAGATGATGGCATCCTCCACCCCAATGCCAGGCTGGTAAGCAAACTGTAGTGGATCTAATGAAGACCTCACCAGGGGACGCAGATGGTTAAGAACCAACCTCTCGAGTGTCTTCATCAGATGCGATGTGAGGGCTACCGGCCTGTAGCTGCTGAGGTCCTTGGGATGGGAGGTCTTTGGTACCGGTACCACACAGGATGTCTTCCACAGCTGTGGTACTTTCCCAAGCGATAGGCTCAGGTTGAACAGGTAACCTAGTATGCCACACAGTTCATCTGCGCAGCACCTCAGAAGCCTGGAGCTGACGCCATCTGGGCCTGCAGCCTTATGCACCTTGATCTTGCGAAGCTCGTTCCTCACTTGAAATGCTGAGATGGAGAGAGTGGGTTTTGGGGGAGGGGTGTGTATAATGGAATCCACAGAAGCCGGGGGTGGGAGTAATGACTGGGAGCTGGGAGGTGTGAAGCCGAGAGGTGTGAATTCCTGAGGTGAAGGACAGGCAGTCCCTGAAGACAAAGGAGATTGCAGCAGGGGGGACGATGCTGTGGGAGGGGTGGGTGGTTGATCAAACCTATTAAAATATTTGTTTAGGTCATTCACCCACCCCAAGTCTCCCACAGCCTGGGGGGTTGGTTTTTGTCCTGAGATTGTCTTCAGGCTGTTCCAAACCCCTCTGATGTTGTCCTGCTGTAGCTGCTCTTCCATCTTCCTCCTGTAGTTTTCCTTTCCTTGCCTTATCTTCCATTTCAGCTTCTTCTGAACAACTCTCAGCTCCTGTTTGTCCCCCGATCTAAAGACTCTCTTCTTCTCCTTGAGGAGAGCCTTAATTTCAGGATTTAAAAAACGTCCAGCAGAAGGAATTATTCAATAATTTGGACACCTAACATGTTCCCCTTCATAATAAACTCATAAGCATTGCTAAGGAGGCAGGAGAACTAAACTAAATATGAAACAATTCAATTTGGTTCCGTTCAGTTTGTTTATAAAGTGTCGAATGATGACAAGAGTCGTCTCAAGTTCAGTTCATTATGACAATTAGTTACGTTTTCTACATAAGGAAACCCAGCAGGTTGCATCGAGTCACTGACTTGTGTCAGAGTCTTTACAGCAATCCTCATACTAAGCAAGCATGTGGTGACAGTGGAGAGGAAAACTCCCCTTTAACAGGAAGAAACCTCCAGCAGAACTTGGTTCAGTGAGAAAGAAAGAAAGAAAACGATCTTTTCTATTGTGCCTCTCAAGATAAAAATTAAGAGGCGCTTCACACAAAAAAAGTAAAGTATAAAAAAGATTTTTTTTAAATCATTAAAATATGTTTAAAATAGCAAAAACTAAAATTGTGATTTAAAAAAGTATAATGTAAGGAAAGGGAGAGAGAAAATGAAATAGGAAAGAGGGAAATCAGTGGATCGCGGGGAAAGGCAAAATAAGTAGAAAGAGCAGAAAAAGAGAGGGTGATGTCAAAGGTCAGAACAGGTGAGTTTTCAGCTGCTTTTTAAAGGAGACCACTCAGTCCACTGATCTCAGGTTCAGAGGGAGAGAGGTCCAGAGTCTGGGGGCCACAGCAGCAGATGATCTGTCATCTTTGGTCTTTAGCCTGGTGCTGCACAACCAGTGTGAGCAGCCGGCTGCCACGACTCACTGGGGTTTGAGAAGACAGAGCAGACACACACTGATACTAAATACGCATTGTGAATACAAAATGATAATAAAATATAGTTTATAAAACTGAATTATTTATTGACTAATGTTAATATAACAATTGTATAATAATCTGCTTTTTAAATATAATAATAATAAAGTGATTAAATGGTCCCTTGCCACACAAAGATCCACCACCAGAGGGCAGTAGATATGTGTAGGGCTGAATATGACGGATTTCAGATGAAGGTACTAATCCTGATGTTCCATTTGAATACTTTAAGTTCTCGTTCACTGGTAAATAATTTCGTACCTGTTCTATTTTAAATATGATAAGTCACTCCGAGCTGCTCCTCCTTGAACCGTCACCTTATCGTGGTGGAGGAGTTTGAGTGCCCTAATGATCCTAGGAGCTATGTTGTCTGGGGCACTTAGTGCCCCTGGTAGGGTCTCCCATGACAAATTGGTCTTAGGTGAAGGGTGAGACAAAGAACGGTTCGAAGGATCTTTCATGGCGGTTAAAACGAAGAGTCGGAGTACCCGGCCGGGAGGGTTACCGGGGTCCCACCCTGGAGCCAGGCCTGGGGTTGGGGCCCGTGAGCGAGCGCCTGGTGGCCGGGCTTTCGCCCATGGGGCCCGGCCGGGCCCAGCCCGAACCGGATACATGGGCTCGTCCAACTGTGGACCCACCACCCGCAGGAGGAACATGAAGGGTCCGGTGCAATGCGAATCGGGTGGCAGACCAAGGCGGGAGCCTTGGCGGTCCAATCCCCGGACAAGAAAACTAGTTTTTGGGACATGG